CTTCTGGAGAGTCCCTGCTCTCTATCCCGCCGGCTTCCCAAGCGCGGCTGGTGGGAACGAGAGACAGGGCCTTTTCTGTGGTAGCCCCTCGGCTTTGGAACACCCTCCCTTCAGAGATACGATCGGCTTCTTCGCTGATGGTTTTCCGGAAGAGGTTAAAAACATGGCTGTGTAGTCAAGCGTTTAACTAGTTATCAAACACTGAATCCATGGACAATTTGGACTGGTCAATTACGGACAACGATCTCTGGACTGCGATTTTTGTGATGAGAAGCATGAAGTTTTATTGGTGGCCCAATAATTCGTATTGTTTTATATGTTGCTGTTTTTAAATTGTATATTGCTTTTATCTGTTGTTAAACCGCAATGAGTCGCCGTTCCAGGCTGAGATACTGCGGTATATAAGTGTATTAAATAAATAAATAAATAAATAATATATATATATATATATATAGCAATTTTGTATACCAGTCTTCTCCCCTCCATCGGGGGACTCGGGCCGGTTTCCAACAATAATATCACAAAACAATCCTTAAAAACATCACATAACATATTCAATTAAAACGTTATAACAGCAAAATGCAATCACATAATAACAATGGTCAGTCGTCATAGTGAATTCGTTGTTCGTCATTTGTCGTCATCCATCCAACACAGAAATATTGATTCACTCGTCGAAAGCCAAATTCCATAACCAGGTTTTCACCCGTTTTCTGAACGTCAGAATGGAGGGGGCGGTTCAGATCTCCAATGGGAGAGAGTTCCAGAGTCGAGGGGCCACCACCAAGAAGGCCCTGTCCCTCGTCCCCACCAGACGCGCTTGTGAGGCACAGGGCAAAGGATTTATAATCTATATAAATAAAAATGTCATGTTTGTTTGTGGGATGAACATAACGCAAAAACCACTGGACAAATAGACATCAAATTTGGACGCAATACACCTATCATGCCAACGAGTGACCATCACTCATAAAACACTGACAAACACAGTGAAAGAGACTTAAAAAGCCAAAAAAATAAAAATACATTACAACACATATATACACATACACACACACACATATAAATACACACACACACATACATACACACACAAAACACATATACACAAATTGGGCCACAGCAACATGTGGCAGGGGACAGCTAGTATATTATATTAGCATAGCACATTATTATTATTAGTATTATTATTTATTTATTTATTGTGTCATCAGCAACCATACCATTGTATTACATTTCTAACAGAACAAAACAAGCACACAGCTTAAAAAAAAACCAAAAAAAACCCCAGATTTTGCAAACTTGGTATTATTATTATTAGTAGTAGTATTCGTATTATTATTATATTACTATATTGTACTATACCACTATACTGCAGTATTGTTACTAATATTACATGTAATATACAATATACAATTATTCTATTTTATTGCTAGTATTGTATAACATTATAATATTACAATCAATATAATATGTATGTATCTATATAAATAAAAATATAAAGTTCGTTTGTGGGATTACCATAATGCAAAAACCACTGGACCAATAGACATCAAATTTGGACACAATACACCTATCACGCCAACGAGTGACCGTCACTCATAAAACACTGAAAAACACAGCAAAAGAGACTTAAAAAGCCAAAAAATAAAAATACATTACAACACATATAAACACATACACACACACACAACACATATATACAGACTGGGCCGCAGCAACATGTGGCAGGGGACGGCTAGTATATTATATTATTAGCATAGCACATTATTATTATGATTATTATTATTATATATTACTATATTGTACTATACCACTATACTGCAGTATTGTTACTAATATTACATGTAATATGTAATATACAATTATTCTATCTGATTACTAGTATTGTATAACATTATAATATTACGATCAATATTCTATGTATCTATCTATATAGATAAAAATATAATGTTCGTTTGTGGGATGAACATAACGCAAAAACCACTGGACGAATTGACACCAAATTTGGACGCAATACACCTATCAGGACAACGAGTGACCATCACTCATAAAACACTGACAGACACAGCGGAAGGGACTTAAAAAGTCAAATTACAACTTTTGTGCAAAACCACATATATAAATGCAAACACACATATATACCCATATACACAAATATATACATACATACACACACAAAACACATTTACACAGACTGCAACTCGTTGCAGGGAGAGCAACAAGTGACACACTGTGTTTTTGTGTCAGTAAAATAATAATAATTGGATCTGCATGCATCTGCTTCCTTGCAGTCTACACTTGGGATCTGTTGTCGACTTTTCAGTTCTGGCTTTGATGGCGTTTGTTCTAATGGCTTGTTCTTGGGCTGCCAGAATCAGGCCCTCCGTCTCTTTTTCCCCAAGTTATTATTATTATTATTATTATTATTATTATTATTATTAATCATCATCATTATAATACTCCGCTTTATCTCTCCCAAAGGAGACTTTTATGTAATGTGTATGATGATTTTTTGTTTTTAGCTATCTTGTAACCCAGTGTTTCTCAACTTGGGGGTCGGGACCCCTAGCGGGGTCACAAGGGAGTGTCAGAGGGGTCGCTATGACTATCTGTTGGTTGTGGGGGTTCTGTGTGGGAAGAGTGGCCCAGTTCTATTATTGGGGAGGTTCAGAATTCTCTTTGATTGTAAATGAACTATAAATCCCAGCAACTACAACTCCCAAATGTCAAGGTGTCGTGACCCACAGAACACAGAATGTCTTAAACAGCAGTTGAGGTGCAAAATAGTAGTATTTTAATGCAAAACAAACTAAATGAGGCACTTTAAAAGTCAGTGCCAACAGTTCAAAGGATGTTTTCAAACAGGAACACAAAATGCTAGATAAGCAGGCTTGAATTGCAGCCAAGAAATAACAAGAGATACGATGAACTAGGAGCAGAATACAAAACAAAACAGTCTTTAAGGGTTGCAAGGCATGGAGCAAAATCCGGTAGGCAAACGCGTAGTCAGTCAGTTCCAAGGGTCAAGAAGCCAGATGTACACTCACGAGCGAAGGTTCCAAGGTCCAGAGCACGGCAGGGAAAACAGGATACTGGGAATCCAAAACAAGATTAGGCAGAGAACAACACGAAACAACACTTTGTCGTCTGCAAAGGAATAGGTCCCAGAGTGCTCATTTTATTCACTATCAGAAGAATGAGATTCATTGCTTGCATCTGATTCTGCTCCCGCAGCTGAAGCATCTACACCACGCCAAGCCTGCCACCTTTGCTCTAGTGCCTGATCCTGCCAAGAAGATCCCTCATTCCAGTTATCCTGAAAACCCTCAAAATCATCGCTGGAGGTTGCTTGATTGCAAATGTCTCTAATGTTCTGAACCAGAGTCCAGTCTACAGCCTCCTCCAACTCATCCTCACTATCACTGGAGTTATCTGCTGTGTCTCTAAGCCTCTTAGACATAGTGTCACTCTCACTGCCAGAATCACTAGCCACTCTCTTCACTCCCCTGTAATCTGCTTCCATAGCCTCCTCTGGCCTGAATCCTGCAAAGTCTTCTTCATCACTGGGAGCCAGAAAGATGTCACGAATGCGTTTCAGCTGGCGCTGATTCTCCTCTGTTTCTGCATCACTCCTTCTTCTCCTCCTACTACTAGTAGTAGGTATGGTGTCAGAATGCTGACTCACAACAAGATTCCCCAGTGTTCACATTTGGGCATATTGAGTATTTGTGCCAAGTTTGGTCCAGATCCATCATTGTTTGAGTCCACAGTGCTCTCTGGATGTAGGTGAACTACAACTCCAAAATTCAAGGTCAATGCCCATCAAACCTTTCCAGTATTTTCTGTTGGTCTTGGGAGTTCTGTGTGCCAAGATTGATTCAATTCTATCATTGATGGTGTTCAGAATGCGCTTTGATTGTAGGCGAACTATAAATCTGAGCAACTACAACTCCCAAATGCCAAGGTCTCCCCCAGTGTTCACATTTGGACATATTATTTGTGACAAGTTTGATCCAGATCCATCATTGTTTGAGTCCCCAGTGCTCTCTGGATGTAGGTGAACTACAACTCCCAAACTCAAGGTCAATGCCCACCAAGTCCCTTCCAGTATTTTCTGTTGGTCATGGGAGTTCTGTATGCCGAGTTTGGTTCAATTCTATCTTTGATGGAGTTCAGAATGCGCTTTGATTGTAGGTGAACTATAAATCCCAGCAAGTACACCCCCACATACACACACACAACCCTAGCCGTATTCAAATTGGGGTATGTGGGGTATTTGTGCCAAATTTGGTCCAGTGAATGAAAATACACCCTGCATATCAGATATTTACATTATGATCTTGTTGTTGTTGTTGTTCATTCGTTCAGTCGTCTCCGACTGTTCGTGACCTCATGGACCAGCCCACGCCAAAGCTCCCTGTCGGCCGTCACCACCCCCAGCTCCTTATGATCTTAACATAGCAAAATTACAGTTCTGAAGTAGCAACAAAAATAATTTTGTGATTGGGGGTCACCACCACATGAGGGACTGTATTAAGGGGTTGCGGCATTAGGAAGGTTGAGAAACACTGTTGTAACCCATCTCATTAACCATGGTTGTTGTTGTCATTGTTGTGTTTCCTCTCTCTATTTTAACCCTGTTGTACTCCACCTTCAGCTGCAAGGAGAGGCCTGAAATACATTTATTATTGTTGCTGTAAGATATTTGGAAGTGACCATATGGTGCCATGCAGGTCAACCATGAAAAGCACAATCAGAGCACCCCCAACAGATGGCCATCCAACCACAACCATTGTTGTTTTAAATTAGTTGCATGCCATGCTGAAATTCCCTCCTTTGAGCCTCCCTTAGAAAGGAAGAGGCGCCCCCTGCAGCTTTCAGCCTGGCAATGCCAGCCAGAGGCTGTCAAAGCTGGAAGCCCGCCTTCCCTTCCACGCCCGGCCAGGAAAGGGTTAAGGCGAGCGAGAGCGAGGTGGCAGAAGGGCTGAATCTCCCAGGCGGAGTTCTGTGCGGGCGGGGCAGGGAGGGAGCGCCAGAGTGGAGGCCGAAGGAGAGGAGCAGGTCAGTCCCAGGGAAGGGGCAGAAGCAGGGTTGATGCAAGAGCCAGGCACCTATTCCCCCCTGAGCCTGGAATAAATACTGCATGACTTCTACATAGACACATGCATGCATAGAGGTTGTCCAAGGCTTCACTGGTTTGCTGTGCAGCCAGGAAAACTCACAGCAACCCATATGTATATATATTCTTCCAGGCTCAGGAGAGGATTGATGCATGGCCTGCATAAACATAGATGCATATATATTCTTCCAGGCTCAGGAGGGGATTGATGCATGACCTCTACATAAACATAGATGCATATATATTCTTCCAGGCTCAGGAGGGGATTGATGCATGACCTCTACATAAACATAGATGCATATATATTCTTCCAGGCTCAGGAGGGGATTGATGCATGACCTCTACATAAACATAGATGCATATATATTATTCCAGGCTCAAGAGAGAATTGATGCATGTACTGCATAAACATAGATGCATATACAGTATATTCTTCCAGGCTCAGGAGAGAATTGATGCATGACCTCTACATAAACATAGATGCATATATATTCTTCCAGGCTCAGGAGGGGATTGATGCATGACCTCTACATAAACATAGATGCATATATATTCTTCCAGGCTCAGGAGGGGATTGATGCATGACCTCTACATAAACATAGATGCATATATATTCTTCCAGGCTCAGGAGGGGATTGATGCATGACCTCTACATAAACATAGATGCATATATATTATTCCAGGCTCAAGAGAGAATTGATGCATGTACTGCATAAACATAGATGCATATACAGTATATTCTTCCAGGCTCAGGAGAGAATTGATGCATGACCTCTACATAAACATAGATGCATATATATTCTTCCAGGCTCAGGAGGGGATTGATGCATGACCTCTATATAAACATAGATGCATATATATTATTCCAGGCTCAGGAGAGGATTGATGCATGACCTCTACATAAACATAGATGCATATATATTCATTCCAGGCTCAGGAGGGGATTGATGCATGACCTCTATATAAACATAGATGCATATATATTATTCCAGGCTCAGGAGAGGATTGATGCATGACCTCTACATAAACATAGATGCATATATATTATTCTAGGCCCAGGAGGGGATTGATGCATGACCTCTATATAAACATAGATGCATATATATTATTCCAGGCTCAGGAGAGGATTGATGCATGGCCTCTACATAAACACATATGCGTATATATTCTTCGAGGCTCAGGAGAGGATTGATGCATGGCCTACATAAACATAGATGCATATATATTATTCCAGGCTCAAGAGAGAATTGATGCATGTACTGCATAAACATAGATGCATATACAGTATATTCTTCCAGGCTCAGGAGAGAATTGATGCATGACTCCTGCATAAACATAGATGCATATATTTTCTTCCAGGCTCAGGAGAGGATTGATGCATGACTTCTACATAAACATAGATGCATATATATTATTCTAGGCCCAGGAGGGGATTGATGCATGACCTCTATATAAACATAGATGCATATATATTATTCCAGGCTCAGGAGAGGATTGATGCATGGCCTCTACATAAACACATATGCGTATATATTCTTCGAGGCTCAGGAGAGGATTGATGCATGGCCTACATAAACATAGATGCATATATATTATTCCAGGCTCAAGAGAGAATTGATGCATGTACTGCATAAACATAGATGCATATACAGTATATTCTTCCAGGCTCAGGAGAGAATTGATGCATGACTCCTGCATAAACATAGATGCATATATTTTCTTCCAGGCTCAGGAGAGGATTGATGCATGACTTCTACATAAACATAGATGCATATATATTATTCCAGACTCAGGAGAGGATTGATGCATGGCCTCTACATAAACATAGATGCATATATATTCTTCCAGGCTCAGGAGAGGATTGATGCATGACTTCTACATAAACATAGATGCATATATATTATTCCAGACTCAGGAGAGGATTGATGCATGGCCTCTACATAAACATAGATGCATATATATTCATCCAGGCTCAGGAGGGGATTGATGCATGACCTCTATATAAACATAGATGCATATATATTATTCCAGGCTCAGGAGAGGATTGATGCATGACCTCTACATAAACATAGATGCATATATATTATTCTAGGCCCAGGAGGGGATTGATGCATGACCTCTATATAAACATAGATGCATATATATTATTCCAGGCTCAGGAGAGGATTGATGCATGGCCTCTACATAAACACATATGCGTATATATTCTTCGAGGCTCAGGAGAGGATTGATGCATGGCCTACATAAACATAGATGCATATATATTATTCCAGGCTCAAGAGAGAATTGATGCATGTACTGCATAAACATAGATGCATATACAGTATATTCTTCCAGGCTCAGGAGAGAATTGATGCATGACTCCTGCATAAACATAGATGCATATATTTTCTTCCAGGCTCAGGAGAGGATTGATGCATGACTTCTACATAAACATAGATGCATATATATTATTCCAGACTCAGGGAGAGGATTGATGCATGGCCTCTACATAAACATAGATGCATATATATTCTTCCAGGCTCAGGAGAGGATTGATGCATGGCCTCTACATAAACATAGATGCATATATATTCTTCCAGGCTCAGGAGAGGATTGATGCATGGCCTCTACATAAACATAGATGCATATATATTCTTCCAGGCTCAGTAGAGAATTGATGCATGACTTCTGCATAAACATAGATGCATATATATTCTTCCAGGCTCAGTAGAGAATTGATGCATGACTTCTGCATAAACATAGATGCATATATATTCTTCCAGGCTCAAGATATAATTAATGCAGGACTCCTGCATAAACATAGATGCATATATATTGGAAAGGTTTTGTGGGCATTGACCTTGAGTTTTGGAGTTGTAGTTCTCCTACATCCAGAGAACACTGTGGAGTCAAATAATGATGGATCTGGACCAAACTTGGCACGAATACTCAATATGCCCAAACATGAACACTGGTGGAGTTTGGGGAAAATAGACTTTGACATTTGGTTGTATATTGCGAGAATTTATAGTTCACCCACAAAGAGCATTCTGAACCCCATCAATGATAGAATTGGGTCAAACTTCACACACAGAACCTAAAGGACCAACGGAAAATACTGTGTTTTCTGATGATCTTTGGTGTCCCTGCTGACACCCCCTTTCGATCCCCCACAGGGGTCCCAACCTTGAGGTTGAGAATCACTGTACTAACTCTTTCGTTTGTTAAAGAATCCATTTGTTCAATGTCTTGTCGAAGGCTTTCATGGCCGGAATCACTGGGTTGTTGTAGGTTTTTTTCGGGCTATATGGCCATGTTCTAGAGGCATTTCTCCTGGTGTTTCATCTGCATTCGAACTATTTTCATTTTGGGTTGTTGTAGGTTTTTTCGGGCTATATGGCCATGTTCTAGAGGCATTTCTCCTGACGTTTCGCCTGCATCTATGGCAAGCATCCTCAGAGGTAGTGAGGTCTGTTGGAACTAGGAAAAGGGGTTTATATATCTGTAGAATGACCAGGGTGGGACAAAGGACTCTTGTCTGCTGGAGCTAGGTGTGAATGTTTCAACTGACCACCTTGATTAGCATTTGATTGCCTGGCAGTGCCTGGAGCAATCTTTTGTTGAGAAGTGATTAGATGTCCTTGTTTGTTTCCTCTCTGTTGATGTGCAAACAAGGACATCTAATCACCTTTCAACAAAAGATTGCTCCAGGCACTGTCAGGCAATCAAATGCTAATCAAGGTGGTCAGTTGAAACATTCACACCTAGCTCCAGCAGACAAGAGTCCTTTGTCCCACCCTGGTCATTCCACAGATATATAAACCCTTTTTCCTAGTTCCAACAGATCTCGCTACCTCTGAGGATGCTTGCCATAGATGCAGGCGAAACGTCAGGAGAAATACCTCTAGAACATGGCCATATAGCCCGAAAAAACCTACAACAACCCAATCCATTTGTTAAGATTAAAGATGATTAACGGCCAAGCCATTGGTCAGGTGCTGAGTCCCTCAATGTAATTTTTTAAAATATCCAGATTTTGACTATCACTACCAAACGGCCCAAAGCGTCACAAAACCCATTTGACATAGACCTTTGGGGGCGGGGGGGCGGGGCGGGGGTAAGTGGCTCAAAGTTAGTTGAAACCAAAATGGGAAATGGCATAACATAATTTCCAGTGTAACAGGATGTCTTTTTCTCTTAGGAAGGCAGTAGGTTCTCCTGAGGAATGGCCGGCTCCCAATGGCTGTTGCAAGCCCTGGATATTTTGATGTGCTCCGTGAAGAAGAGCGTTGTTGGATGAGTTGACTTTGGAAAGAGAAGGAGGTAACCCAAAGCATTCCTCAAGAACTGGTGCCAAAAAGCAGAAGGAAGAGGCACAACAGAGCAGGTTTATTTAGAAAGGAATGGATCCAGAAATAAAAATGGAAGATTCAGTAGGTCCTGAATCAGAAGAGGTCAAAGGAGGAGCAGCTCTACCAAAAAGGGAAAGCGATGGAGGCGAATCAGAACAAACAGTAAAACAGGAGACAGAAGATGAGCCATCAAGGACCTGGGATGCTCAGTTGGAAGAGTTTCTGAGGACACTACAGTCTTCTTCTGGAGATGAAACCCCACAACAACCTAACCCTCAGGAGCCTCAGATGATGACTACGGATGATGAAAGCCATCTGGATGCCACAAATTCTAGGAAAGAGAGAACAGCAAGCAAAGATGCTGATCTGCTCCTTGGTGTGTTGGAGACACAACGGCAGCATTTTCGGATGTTGATCTACCAAGAAGCCGAAGGGCCCCGAAACTTCTGGGGGAAGCTCCGGAAACTCTGCCAGAAGTGGCTGCTGCCGGAGAGACACACCAAGGAGCAGATCTTGGACCTGGTGACGCTGGAGCAGTTCCTGGCTGCCCTGCCCCCAGATATGCAGAAATGGCTGAGGGGACGCTATCCCCAGACCTGCTCCCAGGCTGTGGCCCTGGCAGAGGATTTCCTTCTGATGCATCGAGGATCCAAAGGCAGGGAAGGGCAGGTGAGTGTTTTCTTCCCAATTGTTTTCTCAAGTCTTCTGGCTTGTTGTCTTCATAGTCTGACTACCCAATAACCTTGCTACAGTCAGGTATCTCTCTCCTGACAGGATAAGACCTTTTTATTTACGCAAGCTTTCATTTTTTATTTATTTTTTACCGCGGTGGCGCAGTGGGTTAAACCCTTGTGCCGGCAGGACTGAAGACCGACAGGTCGCAGGTTCAAATCCGGGGAGAGACGGATGAGCTCCCTCTATCAGCTCCAGCTCCTCATGGGACATGAGAGAAGCCTCCCACAAGGATGATAAAAACATCAAATCATCCGGGCGTCCCCTGGGCAACGTCCTTGCAGACGGCCAATTCTCTCACACCAGAAGCGACTTGCAGTTTCTCAAGTCGCTCCTGACACGACAAAAAAAAAACGTTTTACCTTGGTGCAGCAGACAGAACTGTTAGTAAACAGCTCCCAGGCTGTGGCCTTGGCAGAGGAGTTCCTTCTCAACCATCGAGGGCCCAAAGGCTTTGAAAGACAGGTAAGGGTTATCTTTCCAGAAAATTGTTGAAACCATCATTAGAAATAGCTGGGCGGATAAGGACTCCCCTTGCCAGTGTACTGCAACTATTTACTAATTGTGTCATCTGGATGTCCGTCCAAAAAATAAAGGGCTTGTTGAAGTAGGCCTCTCTGCTTTTTATTTTTCAACTTACATGCAGAAATAGCTGAGTTCAGTTACCATAATCTCCAATGTAGTAGGTTTTTTTTTGTCGTGTCAGGAGCAAGTCGCTTCTGGTGTGAGAGAATTGGCCATCTGCAAGGACGTTGCCCAGGGGACGCCTGGATGATTTGATGTTTTTATCATCCTTGTGGGAGGCTTCTCTCATGTCCCCACATGGGGAGCTGGAGCTGATAGAGGGAGCTCATCCGCTCATCAACCTGCGACCTGTCGGTCCTCAGTCTTGCCGGCACAGGGGTTTAACCCACTGCGCCACCGGGGGCTCCATAATGTATTATTATTATTATTATTATTATTATTATTATTATTATTGTTACAATATTGTTACAATATTATTATTATTATTGTACCCCGCCTCCATCTTCCTGAAGGGACTCGGGGTGGCTTACATACAGCACAGTGTGCCTAAAATAATGCATAATAAACATTCAGTACAATACAAAAGAAAGGCTTGTCCAAACATCCAAGTCGTCAATTTCTTCTGGAAGGAGGACAGTGTGGAGGCCTGGGCCTGCCTAATCTCCCTGGGGAGGGCATTCCAAAGATGGGGGGCCACCACTGAGAAGGCCCTCTCCCTCGTCCCCACCAACCATGCTTGCGATGGAGGTGGGACCAAAAGGAAGGCCTCCCCGACAGATCCTAATGCTTGTGCAGTTACATGGAGGGGGATGTGGTCACAAAAATAGGCAGGGCCCGAACCATTTAGGACTTTATAGGTCATAACCTTTGGCCACATCATGAGGAGACAGCAAAGCCTAGAGAAGACAGTTATGCTGGGGAAAATGGAAGGTAAAAGGAAGAGGGGCCGACCAAGGGCAAGATGGATGGATGGCATCCTTGAAGTGACTGGACTGACCTTGAAGGAGCTGGGGGTGGTGACGGCCGACAGGGAGCTCTGGCGTGGGCTGGTCCATGAGGTCACGAAGAGTCAGAGACGACTGAACGAATGAACAACAGGTCATAACCTGCACTTTGAATTGGGACCGGAAACTTATCGGCAACCAGTGGAGCTATTCAATAGGGGTGTCATCCGCTCCCTATAATTAACTCCGGTTTGCAACCTGGCTGCTGATGCTTGCACCAGTTGCAGTTTCTGAGCCATCTTCAAAGGCGGCCCCATGTAGAGTGCATTGCAGAAATCCAACCTGGATGTAAGTGGATGCTTGTGGATTTCAATGGCTTCTCTGTGTAGCCTGACATGGTGGTTGTGAGAGTGGTCCAGCATTTCTGTGTTCTCAAATAATATTCTAGTAGAAGTAACTGTTTATAATGATAGCTTAGCCGACCACCCTCCTAACAAATATTCCACTTCCCCCCTTACTTTATTTGTTATCTGCTTTCCATCCCTTCTTTCAGATCACAGAAGAATTTGCAAGTTCCCCTAAGACAAAAGAGGTTCAGCCAAAGATGATGCTTCGAACAGAGTCTGAGCACAAACATAGTTTGAATGAACATGTGTTGGGTAAGCCTCTCCGGAACCTGTTTCATGAAATACTATTAGAAGTACCAGTTTTGCATGGCTCCCCTATTCTGATGCCTTCTCTCTTTTCCTTGGCTTTTGCTCCTCTCCCACTTTCTTTCCCAGTAGTCTCCAACATTATTCATGCTCGATCTTTCCTTTCGTTCCCTCTCCTGACTATCTTAGGCACCAATTCTTTCTCTCACTTTCCTTTTGGAGACTTGTGGGGCCCTGCAAAGCAAAGCATCTCATGGATAAGGGTGAACTACAACTCCCATATGCCAAGGGCAGTGAATATACTGCAGTTCCCATAATCCCTGGTCCATTTGCTCCCAAACCGCACCAGGATGTAAAGTGGGTCATGGGATCATGGGATCAGTTGCTGATCAATTCCTGTTTGCTGCGTGGGTTGAGAAGGGTGGGGTACAAATACTTGAAATATTTATTTATTTATTTCTCGTGTCAGGGCAGCCAGTCAGTATATTACATTTCTAACAGAACAAAGCAAACAAACAGAGAAAATACAAAATGTGTGAGTTTGGTAGTTGATTAAATGTCCTTTGACCAGTATCTGGCCACTTGGAGTGCTTCTGGTGTTGCTGCAAGAAGGTCCTCCATTGTGCATGTGGCTGGGCTCAGGTTGCATTGCAGCAGGTGGTCAGTGGTTTGCTCCTCTCCGCACTGGCATGTTGTGGATTCCACTTTGTAGGCCCCATTTCTGAAGGTTGGCTCTGCATCTCGTGGTGCCAGAGCGCAGTCTGTTCAGCGCCTTCCAAGTCGCCCAGTCCTCTGTGTGCCCAGGGGGGAGTCTCTCATTTGGTATCAGTTGAGTTTCTGGGTTTGAGCCTGCCACTTTTGGACTCTCGCTTGCTGAGGTGTTCCAGCGAGTGTCTCTGTAGATCTTAGAAAACTATTTCTTGATTTGAGTTGTTGATGTGCTGGCTGATACCCAAACAGGGGATGAGCTGGAGATGTCTCTGCCTTGGTCCTTTCACTATTGGCTGCTACTTCCCGGCGGATGTCAGGTGGTGCAATACCGGCTAGACAGTGTAATTTCTCCAGTGGTGTAGGGCGCAGACACCCCGTGATAATGCGGCATGTCTCATTAAGAGCCACATCCACTGTTTTAGTGTGGTGAGATGTGTTCCACACTCGGCATGCATACTCAGCAGCAGAGTAGTACAGCGCAAGGGCAGATGTCTTCACTGTATCTGGTTGTGATCCCCAGGTTGTGATCCCCCCATTTATTTATTTGAAATAAATATATACTCAATACATTTTTAGGATAATTTTTATTGTAATTTTCAAATGGGCAAGTTTACATAAAATAGGGGTAGAACACTTGAACAGAATTATAAGGGAAAATGCCTAGTTAATTTTTAATATTTCTGACAAAACCTAGATTCTTCTCCATTTTTTTCCTCCCAGGAGATGATGCAGGGCTGACCGAGCGTGAGGAACAAAAAACCCCATTTGAGAGCACAGAGGAAATGGAGCAACTGAGGACATCCATGAAAAGTGGCCAAGAGGACAGTTTCCTGTGTCAGGGAGAACCTGATAAGAACCAAGCGAGGACAGACAAAGACAATGGAAATGGCCAGGAGAAGGTAGAGGATCTGTTTGTTTCATCACAAGTTGTTTGCAAAATTAACAGTGAGCCCATCGCCTGGGATGCGGAGGACGAAGTCAAATACGACAAAAGTGGGGAATGCTTTGATGGGAACACTGACCTTGTCATGCACGATGACCCTGATGCAGAGCAGAAGCCATACAAGTGTTGGAACTGTGGACAAAGCTTTGGTAGCAGCGCCAATCTTGTGGCCCATGAGAGGACCCATGTGGGTGAGAAGCTGTACAAATGTTCCCACTGCGGGCAGTGCGAAAGGACCCACACAGGTCAGAAGCCACATAAGTGTTCGCATTGTGGAAATACTTTTGGGTGGAATCCACAAGAGAAAGCCCAGTCAGAAGAGAGACCCTATACATGTCCAGAATGTGGGAAGAGCTGCAGTCAGAAATCAGACCTTCTCAAGCACCAGAGAACACACACCGGCGAGAAGCCTTACGAATGCCCGGTCTGCGGGAAAAACTTTAGGAACAACTCAGGGCTCAAAGTACACCAGAGAATCCACACAGGGGAGAAACCGTATAAATGCTTGCACTGCGGGAAGTGTTTCACGTGGAGTTGGCACTTCATATCGCACAAGAGAATCCACACAGCGCTGTGCTCCTTCTGTGGGAAAAGCTTCAGTCAAAAATCAGAACTAGTCGAGCACGAGAAGAGCCATGCGACGGAAGACTCGTTTGTGTGTTTTGCTTGCGGGAAAGCCTTTGTTGTCAGTGCAGAGCTAGTTGCGCACGTGCGGACCCACAAAGACAAACCCTTTGAATGCTCCGTCTGTGGGAGAACCTTTAGGAACAGCTTGCAACGCATTGCACACCAAAAAGTCCACACGGGAGAGAAGCAGCACAAATGCTCCCACTGCGACAAATCCTTCAGGTGGAGTTCCCATCTTGTGTTGCACGAGAGAATCCACACAAGAGAGAAGCCCTACGGGTGCTCGGACTGTGGGAGGACGTTCGACAGGCGGTCCAATCTCCTTGTACATATGAGAGTTCACACAGGAGAAAGGCCCTATGTATGTGCTGACTGTGGGAAAAGCTTCATTTCAAGCCCTGTTCTTGTGCGACATCGGAAAATCCACGTCGGGGAGGAAGTCTGTACCTGTTCCCAGTGTGGGAAAACTTTCCAGCAACGGTCAGGCCAGGCAAGGAAAGTACTGAAATGTTCTGAGTGCGTTAGAAGCCATTGCCTGAGTTTGGCTCTTGCTGTGCCGGTGGAGGAGAAACACTTTGAATGCTCGGTTTGTAGGAAAACATTCAGGAATAGCTCCCACCTCATTACGCACCAGAGCGTCCACATGGAAGTTCAGCCATATCAGTGTTTGGACTGTGGGCGGACTGTGGTGCGAAGGCCCAATCTCATAGTTTCCGCAAGCAACCCAGCAGGGCAGAAACTCCATAAATGTTCAAGCTGCGAGAAAAGGCTAAGCTAGATTGTGGGTCTTACAAAAACTTGGAAAAGTTGAATCTCCTTCTGTTTACCTCTCACGACGTGTTGACCTTCCTTTCCCTTTAAATATCTACACAGACCTTTTGTTGACTCTGTATGACATGATGGCTCTAAATAAACACAGTGTTGTCATCAAAGAAATTACATACATATGCTTTTCAGGTTATCTGTAGGCCAGCCTTTATTGTAAATGGAGGGTTTTTGTTTTTTGTTTGTATCAGGGGCGACTTGACAAAATGCAAGTAGCTTCTGGTGTGAGAGAATTGGCGGTCTGCAAGGACGTTGCCCAAGGGACGTCCGGATGTTTGATGTTTTACCATCCTTGTGGGAGGCTTCTCTCATGTCCCCTCATGGGGAGCTGGAGCTGACAGAGAGAGCACAACCCACTCTCCCTGGATTCTGACCGCTGACCTATCAATCAGCAGTCCTGCCGGCACGATGGTTTAACCCATCGCGCCACCAGGTCTTCTATTGCAAATGGGTAAATCCCTGTCAGAATCACAAAGATGGTAGAATTGCCATCCAGTTAGGTAGGAATACACAACCAAAGCACTCCCAGTTGATGGCCATACAGCCTCTGCTTAAAAACCTCCAGAGAAGGAGACCACCATGCTCCTAGGCAGCGACATACAGTTCACTTCACTTCACTTTATTTCTTAATTAGTCGCTCTCCACCAAGGTGCTCCGAGCGACTTACAATTTAGAATCATAGAATCATAGAGTTGGAAGAGACCTCATGGGCCATCCAGTCCAACCCCTGCCAAGAAGCAGGAATATTGCATTCAAATCACCCCTGACAGATGGCCATCCAGCCTCTGTTTAAAAGCTTCCAAAGAAGGAGCCTCCACCACACTCCGGGGCAGAGAGTTCCACTGCTGAACGGCTCTCACAGTCAGGAAGTTATTCCTCATGTTCAGATGGAATCTCCTCTCTTGTAGTTTGAAGCCATTGTTCCGCGTCCTAGTCTCCAGGAAGCAGAAAACAAGCTTGCTCCCTCCTCCCTGTGGCTTCCTCTCACATATTTATACATGGCTATCATATCTCCTCTCAGCCTTCTCTTCTTCAGGCTAAACATGCCCAGCTCCTTAAGCCGCACCTCATAGGGCTTGTTCTCCAGACCCTTGATCATTTTAGTCGCCCTCCTCTGGACACATTCCAGCTTGTCAATATCTCTCTTGAATTGTAGTGCCCAGAATTGGACACAATATTCCAGATGTGGTCTAACCAAAGCAGAATAGAGGGGTAGCATTACTTCCTTGATCTAGACACTATGCTCCTATTGATGCAGGCCAAAATCCCATTGGCTTTTTTTGCCGCCACATCACATTGTTGGCTCATGTTTAACTTGTTGTCCACGAGGACTCCAAGAACTTTTTCACACGTACTGCTCTCGAGCCAGGCATTGTCCCCCATTCTGTATCTTTGCATTTCGTTTTTCCTGCCAAAGTGGAGTATCTTGCATTTGTCACTGTTGAACTTCATTTTGTTAGTTTTGGCCAATCATCTCTCTAATCTGTCAAGATCGTTTTGAATCCTGCTCCTGTCCTCTGGAGTATTGGCTATCCCTCCCAATTTGGTGTCATCTGCAAACTTTAAAATAGCATTTACACAATATAAAAACATTCAACATAAAAACATTCAACAGTGATTATTTGGCAAGTTAGATCTTGACTTACAAGTGAACTATCTTAATGGTTTTTTTGAGACACAAGCCATCACTGTCGATTTATTTTCTGCCTTGACAAGCAAGCTGAAATTTGAGTTATAAGTTAGCGCAAGAGCTAGCGCAAGAGCAAGAGTATACCACCCATAAGTTGTTGCCCATCACAATACAGTACTGTTAAATGTATTGTCAAAGCTTTTCATGGCCGGAATCACTGGGTTGTTGTAGGCTTTTTCTAGAACATGGCCATATAGCCCGAAAAAACCTACAACAACCCACAGTACTGTTAACTTGAATGTGTATATTATTACTAGGGGTGAAGTACTGTAATTGTGTTTGAGAACAAAGTGGCATACCCTGGGGTCTAGGATCTCACCGTATCAGCCTGGGACTGGCTGTTTTGGTTCTCTGCCATAAAAAAGGGAGGTGGAAGGAAGGGAGCCTGGGTGTAGTTGGGGAAGTCGGTTTAGTTAAGACGTCTGTTTGGTGAGGGAAATTGAAACTGCAGTTAGCAGACTGTGGGCACAGTGTTTGGCCACTAGGGGGCAGATGGGAGTTGGGGCTGAGCAGGAAAACTTTAGAACTGTCTTTTTAGGATTGTGGAAAGAAGGAATAAACCACTTGTCTCCAGCGCTTTATTGTTGTGAGCTTGATTTTAACTCCAAGATCTTCCAAAGTCTGACAGCTACAGTCCCATTTAGAATGATATTCCCAAAAAATTGTTGAAGGCTTTCATGGCCAGAATCACTGGGTTTTTTCGGGCTATGTGGCCATGTTCTAGAGCAGTGGTTTTCAACCTTGGGTCCCCAGATGTTTTTGGCCTACAACTCCCAGAAATCCGAGCCAGTTTACCAGCTGTTAGGATTTCTGGGAATTGTAGGCCAAAAACATCTGGGGACCCCAGGTTGAGAACCACTGTTTTAGAGGCATTCTCTCCTGACATTTCACCTGCATCTATGGAAAGCATCCTCAGAGGTTGTGAGGTATGTTGGAACTAAGAAAATTGGGTTCATTCTACAGATATATAAACCCAATCTTCCTAGTTCCAACAGACCTCACTGAGGATGCTTGCCATAGATGCAGGTGAAACATCAGGAGAGAATGCCTCTAGAACATGGCCATATAGCCCGAAAAAACCTACAACAACCCGATGTTTCTAATAGCATGTAGTTCATCTTTGTGTGAGATATATGGATTCTATAGTGGCTAAGAACCATCTCATATAAAGACTATAATTTCTGCAGGAAGTCATTAGAGGGATGATGGAATATAATCGAAGGGTATTGTCCAAAATCTTAATAATGATCTCAAAATCTTCTGAATCTCTTGATTCAAGGTCTGGCTAACCGTGGGTCCTAAGAAAGTGAGTGCCAAGAAGAAAAGGATGATGTGCTTGGATATAAAGCACGAAATCATCGAAAAGCACGAGCGAGGTGTGCGTGTTGTCGACTTGGCAAGGCAATACGATCGCAGCACTTCTACGATATGTTCGATTTTGAAGCAGAAGGAGTCAATCAAAGCCATAACACCTGCAAAGGGCATTAAGATTATTTCAAAGCTCCGGACCTCTGCCCACGAAGAGATGGAGAAGTTGTTGTTGTTGTGGTTGACGGAGAAGCAGCTCGCAGGAGATACCATGACCGAGAGCATTGTCTGCAAGAAGGCGCGAGCCATTTACGGGGATTTGGTGCGTCAGGCACCGGAAAGATTAATGGACGAGGCATCGGAAGAGTCATTCAAAGCCAGTCGGGGATGGTTTGATAATTTCAAAAAGAGGACCGGCATTCACTCTGTCGTCAGGCATGGCGAGGCAGCAGATGTGAAGGCAGCTGAGGATTTCAGAATCATTTTTGCCAAACTAATAGAAGCTGAAGGATATATCCCTCAGCAAGTCTTCAACTGTGATGAGACAGGGCTTGTCTGGAAAAGGATGCCAAGGAGGACGTTTATAACGACGGAGGAGAAGAGCCTGCCAGGCCACAAACCTACGAAGGATCGGTTAACCCTTGCGCTGTGCGCAAACGCAAGTGGTGACTGCAAGATTAAGCCGCTTCTTGTATATCACTCTGAAAACTCCAGCGACTTCAAGTCTCATCAGATAATTAAAGAAAAACTGCAGGTTATGTGGAGGGCAAACCCAAAGGCGTGGGTCACCAGAGAGATCTTTGTGCAGTGGGTCAACCTGGTCTTCGGTCCTGGCGTCAAGAAGTACCTTTTGGAAAACGGCCTACCTCTGAAAGCCCTTCTCGTCCTTGACAGTGCTCCCGCGCACCCACCAAACCTTGAGGACTACATCCTTGAAGAGTTTAACTTCGTTAAGGTGTTGTACCTTCCAGCCAACACCACCCTTATCCTGCAACCCATGAGTCAGCAGGTGATTTCAGATTTCAAAAAGCTCTTCACCAAGCACCTCTTCCGGCATTGCTTTGAGGTTACCAAGAACACAGACCTCACCCTTCGAGAGTTTTGGGAGGAGCACTACAATATCGTAACTTGCCTCGGAATTATTGACACGGCCTGGCAGGGCGTTACGAGGAGGAGCTTGAACTCTGCGTGGAAGAAGCTGTGGCCAGAGGTTGTGTCGGAAAGGCGCTTTGAAGAATTCGAACCTGAGGAGCTAGCGGTGGAGGAGATTGTGTCCATCGGAAAGTCCATGGGCCTGGAAGTGGATGAAGGCGACCTCAACAACCTCATCAAGCAGCACGATGAGGAGCTGACAACAGAGGAATTGCAAGAGCTACTGGAGCAGCAGCAGTGTACAGAGATTTTGCAGGAAATTAATGTGGAGGAGCCAGAGGCGGAGGAGGTTATCGATACAAGTGAGATTAAGGAAATGTTGGGAATGTGGGAGAAAGTTTCAGACTTTATTGAAAAGAAGCACCCTGAAAAGGTTGCAACAAGCCATGCGTTGGCGCTGTGTCACGACACTTGCCTCACTCCTTTCAGAAACATTTTGAAAGGGAGGAAACAAGCCTCCTTGGACAGGTTTACATTGAAACGCCCTCTGAGTGAAAATGAGGAAAGGGTGGTGAAAAAGGCAAATGTCAAAGAAGAAGAAGATTGAGTGAAGCCTGATCTTGAAGGAAAATACATGCTCTCATAATCTGTTGTTGTTGTTCATTCGTTCAGTCGTCTCCGACTCTTCGTGACCTCATGGACCAGCCCACGCCAGAGCTCCCTGTCGGCCGTTACCACCCCCAGCTCCCTCAAGGTCAGTCCAGTCACTTCAAGGATGCCATCCATCCATCTTGCTCTTGGTCGGCCCCTCTTTCTTTTACCTTCCATTTCCCCAGCATAATTGTCTTCTCTAGGCTTTGCTGTCTCCTCATGATGTGGCCAAAGTACTTCAACTTTGTCTCTAGTATCCTTCCCTCCAGTGAGCAGTTGGGCTTTATTTCCTGGAGGATGGACTGGTTGGATCTTCTCGCAGTCCAAGGCACTCTCAGCACTTTCCTCCAACACCACAGCTCAAAAGCATCTCTCTTCCTTCGCTCAGCCTTCCCTAAGGTCCAGCTCTCACATCCGTAGGTTACTACAGGGAATACCATGGCTTTGACTAGGCGGATCTTTGTTGCCAGTCTGATGTCTCTAATCTTTACTATTTTATCGAGACTGGACATTGCTCTCCTCCCAAGAAGTAAGCGTCTTCTGATTTCCTGGCCACAGTCTGCATCTGCAGTAATCTTTGCACATAGACTGCTCTCATAATCTACACTTAATAAATCCAATTTATTTCTTTACATTTTTCTATTCTGTCTTACTAATTTTTTATACATTACTACTACTACTAATAATAATAAATATCTTTATTTATACCCCGCCACCATCTCCCCAATGGCGACTCGAAGTAGCTTACATGGGGCCAAACCCAAACAACATATTACATCAAAATAAAACCAAACCAAGAACAAGCAACATCATCAAAAGGAAAAAAAATATGAATACAATAACAAAATAGCATTACAATAAACAAAAAACACATACTAGCTGTCCCCTGCCACACATTGCTGTGGCCCAGTCTGTATACGTGTTTTGTGTGCATATATATTTGTATATATGTGTGTTTGTGCGTTTGTATAAATGTAATGTTTGTTTGTGGGATTAACATAACTCAAAAACCATGGGATGAATTGACACCAAATTTGGACACAATACAGGCCAACAAGTGACCATAACTCATAAAAGCACTGGAAAACACAGTAGAAGGGACTTAAAAAGCCAAAAAAACACAAAACAATGCATGCGCAAAACCACATACACACACACACATATATACACACAAAACACATATATGCAGACTGGGCCACAGCAACGCATGGCAGGGGATGGCTAGTGTGTGTGTGTGTATATATATAGGTATAGATATAGGAGGGTTCTGCCTTGTAATGAATTTGCTATTTTTTTGGCTTTCTAAATCTCTTCTGGTGTTTTCTTCAGGGTTTTTATGAGTGATGGTCACTCATTGGCCGGTTAGGTGTATTGTGTCCAAATTTGGTGTCAATTCCTCCAGTGATTTTTGAGTTATGTTAACCCCACAAACGAACATTACATTTTTATTTATATAGATTTGTTATTTATTAAGTACACTTTTCTTATTTAAAGACATGTAACAAAAATGTGTGGTTTTTGGGTGGCTGGAACGGATTAATAGCATTTCAGTTCATTTCAATGGGGAAATCTGACTTGACATAAGAGCAACTTGAGTGAAGAGCTCGGTCACAGAACAAAGTAAACTTGTAAGTTAAGGTATCGCTGTATTCCACTATGGAGCCCCCGGTGGCTAAAGACCAACAGGTCGGAGGTTCACATCTGGGGAGAGTGTGGATGAGCTCCCTCTGTCAGCTTCAGCTCCCCATGCGGGGACATGAGAGAAGCCTCCCACAAGGATGGTAAAACATCAAAACATCTGGATGTCCCCTGGGCAATGTCCTTGTAGACGGCCAATTCTCTCACACCAGAAGTGACGTGCAGTTTCTCAAGTCGCTCCTGGTGTGAGAGATGTTAAGGTGGGAACATCTGACTTGCGTGACAAACAAAGAGTTGGATGTCCTGTGACAGCAACCACCGAGTTCCACAAGCAAAAGGTTGACAGATTTATTCAGGACCATTGTCGTGTCACTCAGAGAAATTTCAAGCATAATTGGCATTTCACAAGAATGTGTGGGTCACATTATTGCTTTGGTTGGCTATTGGAAGATCTGCGCACGATGGGTTGCGGAAACAGAGTGTCGACTTCTTTCGTGACAGCTTCAGAAAACTTGTTCATTGTTGGCAGAAATGTATCCAATTGTCTGTTGTTGTTGTTTTGTTGTGTCAGGAGTGACTTGAGAAACTGCAAGTCGCTTCTGGTGTGAGAGAATTGGCCGTCTGCAAGGACGTTGCCCAGGGGACGCCCGGATAATTTGATGTTTTTATCATCCTTGTGGGAGGCTTCTCTCATGTCCCCACATGAGGAGCTGGAGCTGATAGAGGGAGCTCATTCGCCTCTCCCCAGATTCAAACCTGCGACCTGTCGATCTTCAGTCCTGCCGGCACAGGGGTTTAACCCACTGCGCCACCGGGGGGCTCCGGTCTGGTGATTATATGGAAAAGTGAATAGTGGTAGTTAAAGAGCACATTCTAAGGATTATTTCTGCTTTTGATTTATTAAAATATTCCCATCCAAACCCAAGTAACGAAGGTGGAGGCATTACTTTTCATTCAACCCTCATAGGTTAATCTCCTTGGCACCAGGCCTTCTGTTATGTTGCCCATAGCAGCAGATGGCATTCCGGAATTCAGGAAGCCTAACAACACATCCTCCTTGAGTTGAGCTCGTGGGGAGTTGAATTTGGAGACTGTTGTGAGCGTTTTGCAGCTGGAGGTAATACCCGGCTCTCCAGGCCAATTGGAATGGCCTGGAATTTGGGGGAATTAGATCCCGGAACCCACCCTATTGCAGGCCCACGACTTGCACAAGGGTTCAGTTCAGAACCCGTTCATAGACTCACAGAGTTGGAAGAGACCCCAAAGGCCATCCAGTCCAACTCCATTCTGCCATGCAATATACAATCAAGCCATTTAGCCTCTGGGTTCTTGTGGGTTTTTTCGGGCTATAGAGCCATGTTCTAGAGGCATTTCTCCTGACGTTTCGCCTGCATCTATGGCAAGCATCCTCAGAGGTGTGAGGTCTGTTGGAAGTAGGAAATGGGTTTATATATCTGTGGAATGGCTGGGGTGGGGCAAGGAGCTCTTCCCTGCTGCAGTTAGGTGTGAATGTTTAGCTGATCACCTTCATTAGCATTTGAAGGCCTGCCTGAGTCTGGGAAAATCTGTTGCTGGGAGGTGTTAATCTGTGCCTGGTTTTTCCCTCTCTGTTGTTTAGCTTCTTATAATTTTAGAGTTTTTTAATACTGGTAGCCAGATTTTGTTCATTTTCATGGTTTCCTCCTTTCTGTTGAAATTGTCCACATGCTTGTGGATTTCAATGGCTTCTCTGTGTAGTCTGACATGGTGGTTGTTGGTGTGGTCCAGCATTTCTGTGTTCTCAAATAATATGCTGTGTCCAGGCTGGTAAATCAGGTGCTCTGCTATGGCTGACTTCTCTGGTTGAAGTAGTCTGCAGTGCCTTTCCTGTTCCTTGATTCGTGTTTGGGCGCTGCGTTTGGTGGTCCCTATGTAGACTTGTCCACAGCTGCATGGTATACGGTAGACTCCTGCAGAGGTGAGAGGATCCCTCTTGTCCTTTGCTGAACGTAGCATTTGTTGGATTTTCTTGGTGGGTTTGTAGATTGTTTATGTTGTGTTTCCTCATCAGCTTCCCTATGCGGTCAGTGGTTCCCTTGATGTATGGCAGGAACACTTTTCCTCGGGGTGGATCTTCATCTTTACTCTCGTGGCTTGTTCTTGGTCTTGCAGCTCTTCTGATGTCTGAGGTGGAGTCTCCATTGGCCTGGAGAGCCCAGTTGAGGTGGTTCAGTTCATCTTGGAGGAGGTGGGCTTCGCAGATTCTTTTTGCACGGTCTGCCAAGGCTTTAATGGTGCTTCTTTTTGGACTTGGGTGATGGTTGGAGTTTTTATGTAGATATCTATCTGTGTGTGTGGGTTTTCTGTAGACGGTGTGACCCAATTGTTGATCTGGTTTGCGGATGACTAGGACATCTAGAAAAGGCAGTCTTCCTTCATTTTCTTTTTCCATGGTGAACTGGATGTTTGGGTGGATGCTGTTCAGATGGTCCAGGAACCTGTTGAGTTCTTCTTCTCCATGGCTCCAAATGCCTCTGCTTTAAAACCTTCAGAGACTCCACCACACTTCCAGGCAGCAGCATATTCTGCTGGACAGCTCTTACTATCAGGAAATTTTAGGTGGACCCTGTTTTTGTGCCATTCCAATCCACTGCCCCCTTATGCAGGTCTTCAGGCCAGCAGAAAACAAGCTTGGACCACCCTCAGTAGGATATACTTTCAAATATTTAAACATGCCCCCATATCAGACTTATTAGGAGAGCTTGGTTTGCAAACCTTTCCTCATTTTGGTCGTCCTTCTCTGCAGATGTTCAGCTTCCCTCTTGAATAGTGGTACCCATAACTGGACAGAACATAATTCTGGATGACGTCTGGCCAAAGCAGAATAGAGTAGGACTAGGACTTCCTTGGAGCCCCCGGTGGCGCAGTGGGTTAAACCGCTGAGCTGCTGAACTTGCAAACTGAAGGGTCGCAGGTTCGAATTCGGGGAGCAGCATGAGCTCCCGCTGTTAGCCCAGCTTCTGCCAACCTAGCAGTTCAAAACATGCAAATGTGAGTAGATCAATAGGTACAGCTCTGGCAGGAAGGTAACGGCGCTCCATGCAGTCATGCCGGCCACATGACCTTGGAGGTGTCTATGGACAACGTCGGCTCTTCGGCTTAGAAATGGAGATGAGCAGCAACCCCCAGTCGGACATGACTGGATTTACTATCAAGGGGAAACTTTGACCTTTACCACGACTTCCTTCCACCTCGACCCTAGACTCCTGTCGCGCTTTATCTCACAATTCAGCAGCAGATCAGTTGCACAACTTCAGCGCTTTCCAGTAGCTTCTTCCTGCACAGTATTTTCAGTCAACTGCTCCCACAAACTGCAGTCACTCTGGAACTCTCCACAGGCACTTGAGCACATGCCCGGCCATTGTCAGTTTTACTATTGTTTTCCCCTCCAATCTAGATGACACTACAAACTTACCACAGCACACGGTTATATCTTGTCTTAGCAGACAGGTTCCTTTAATAAATTACACAGAGCGTTTGGCAAACAGCATCACAGCACAAGGAGAGAGAATACACTATACATGACTTCCTTAATTCTGTACATTTACACATAGCAATCTCTGATTGGTTCCCAACTCATTGACTTAACTCAAACCCAGGATTGCATCATTAACACTCATTTGGACCAGGCCAGAACACATTCCCCAAATGATGTCCTATATACAGTTAATGCATGACTCAGCATTTCCAATAGAAGCCTATTAGCAGTGCATGACTCAGCTATATTACATTACAATACATTGTAAAACCTGACAACTCCTCTAGATGCAGCCTTGAATTGCATTGGCTTTTGAAGCTGCTACATCACAGTGTTGCCTCATGTACAGTTCCTTGTCTACCAAGGTTCCTAATCTAGTTGGTACACTCCTTGGGTACCAAATCCAGCAGAAAGCCTGGCTGCATAAACTCATATGTTGTTCATTCGTTCAGTCGTCTCCGACTCTTCGTGACCTCATGGACCAGCCCACGCCAGAGCTCCCTGTCGGCTGTCACCACCCCCAGCTCCTTCAAGGTCACACACACACACACACACACACACACACACACACACACACACACACATATATATATATATATATATATATATATATATATATTTATTAAATTTATATATATATATATATAAATGTTTGTTTGTGGGATTAACATAACTCAAAAACTACTGGACGAATTGACACCAAATTTGGACACAATACACCTCTCAGGCCAACAAGTGACCATCACTCATAAAAATACTGAAAAACACCGCAGAAGAAACTTTGAAAGCCCAAAAATAAAAAATAAATTACAACACATGCGCAAAACCACATATTTATGCAAACACACATATATACACATATACAAAAATATATACACACAAAAAACATATATATACACAGACTGGGCCACAGCAACACATGGCAGGGGACTGCTAGTGTGTGTGTGTGTATGTATATGTATGTGTGTGTGTAATATATATATAATATGGGTTGCTGTGAGTTTTCTGGGCTGTATGGCCTCCACTATAATGAGCTCTCCTCCGCAAATAATCTGTTTCTGTTTTATCTCGCCTGAGTTTTTAATCAGCTTTTAATCAGCCTTTCTTTTATCCATTACATGTAGCTCGCCCATTGTCATTGTGATTGTGCCTATTGTAATTTTATATTGCTATGTTTTCATTTGTTTTATGTAATTACGTTGTTATTTATTTGCATTTTCGGTTTTATTTTATGTAATTATTGTTTGGGCTTGGCCTCATGTAAGCCGCTCCGAGTCCCCATTGGGGAGATGGTGGCGGAGTACAAATAAAGTTTATTATTATTATATTCCAGTAGCATTCTATCCTGATGTTTTGCCCACATCTATGGCAGGCATCCTCAGAGATGGTGAGGTCTGTTGAAAGCTAGGCAAGTGAGGTTAATATATCTGTGGAATAATGTCCAGGGTGGGAGAAAGAATTCATGTCTGTTTGAGGCAAGTGTGAATGTTAAAATTGGCCACCTTGATTAACATTGAATGGCCTGGCATCTTTAAAGCCTGGCTACTTCCTGCCTAGAGAATCCTTTGTTGGGAGGTGTTAAGGTAAAGGTTTCCCCCTGACATTAAGTCCAGTCGTGTCCGACTCTGGGGCTTGGTGCTCATTCATATTTTAAGCCGAAGAGCCGGCGTTGTCCATAGACACCTCCAAGGTCATGTGGACGGCATGACTGCATGGAGTGCCGTTACCTTCCCGCTGGAGTTCCCTGTTTTCGAAGTGTTTACTTTACTGTCCTGATTTAGAGGTTTTTTTTAATATTGATAGCCAGATTTTGTTCATTTTCATGGTTTCTGTTGAAATTGCCCACATAGTTGAGGATTTCAGTGGCTTCTCTATGCAGTCTGACATTGGGTTCTCAGAGCGGTCCAGCATTTCTGTGTTTTCAAATAATATGCTGCATCCCAAAGGATTCCGCCAGGCAGGAAGCAGCCAGGCTTTGAAGCTGCAAAGTAGATGCACTTTTGCTTTCCATATATATGCACAATGTTGCAGGCTGCTTGTGACATCTCAGCCAGGGAATGTTCCAAACTTCCAAGTCTGTGTGTTTGCAATGAATCAAGATGCTTTCATGGTTTGTTTTTAGGATTCACTCCTTTCAAGGCCCAATTGTTTTGCTTTTTCATCCAGAGAGCAAAGGGTTACAAGCACAGAGCCCTCCTTCCTAGAGACCAATGTGTCAGGGAAAGATGCCAAGCTTCTTCCTGCTTCCTGCCTTCCTCCCATCACATTGTGGGAGCCTGACTTGTCAATATCTAATCTATCTATCTATCTATCTAGCTCTCTACCTACCTACCTACCTACCTACCTACCTACCTACCATCTATCTATCTCTCTTTGGCCAGCCTGGAAGACAGACTGACTACAGAGGCGTTAAGAGGTTTCAGGAAGGTTTGCAATGCAAGGAGAAGGTATTAATATATTAATATAATATATTATAGTGTTAATATATTACTGATGTGCTGTGCTAATAATATAATATATTGTATACACATATAATATTGATAATAATATTATAATGTAATAAAATATAATAATAATACAATATAATAATTATATATTTCATATTATCTATATAAATAAGAATGCAATGTTCGTTTGTGGGATTAACAGAACTCAAAAACCACTGGACGAATTGACAACAATTTTGGACACAAGACACCTAACAACCCAATGTATGTCCTTCACTCAAAAAAATTGATTTTGTAATTTGGGAGTTATAGTTGCTGGGATTTATAGTTCACCTACAATCAAAGAGCATTCTGAACTCCACCAATGATGGAATTGAACCAAACGTGGCACACAGAACTCCCATGACCAACAGAAAACACTAGAAGGGTTTGGTGGGCATTGACCTTGAGTTTGGGAGTTGTAGTTCACCTACATCCAGAGAGCACTGTGGACTCAAACAATGATGGATCTGGACCAAACTTGGCATGAATATTCCATATGCCCAAATATGAACACAGATGGAGTTTGGGGGAAATAGACCTTGACATTTGGGAGTTGTAGTTACTGAGATTTATAGTTCACCTACAATCAAAGAGCATTCTGAACCCCACCAATGACAAAACTGGGACAAACTTCCCACACAGAAACCCCATACTTAAGGCCATCCAGTCCAACTCCCTTCACCAGGGCAAGAAAACGTAATCAAAGCCCTCCTGACAAAAAGCCATCAAGCCATAGATATAGATATATAAGATTCACACACACAGAGAGATAGAGTATAATAGATTCACACACACACACCAGAGTATAGTATCATAGATTTGAAAGGGACCCTAAATAAGGACAATTATGTTGCATGTTCCAGAGTAGGAAAACCAGACAATCTCCACATCAACACTGACAAAGAAACGGCAAGAGATACTGTTTACCCACAAATATAAAGAAATTACATATATTAGAAACCAACACTTCCTAATTCCTTTATTTTCCAGATCACCAGACTGGGCCACAGCAACGCGTGGCAGGGGACGGTTAGTATGTAATATTAATAATAATACAGTATAGTGGTATAGTACAATATAGTAATACATAATACTAATATTGTGCTGTGGTAATATAATTTATTGTATACACATATAATATTGATGATAATATTATAATGTAATACAATATAATAATTAAATAGATAGATAGATGGGTGGATGATAGACACAGGATGGGTGACACCTGACTTGACAACCATCCATGTGAAAGGGATCTCGGAGTCTTAGTAGACCACAAATTGAGCATAAGTCAACACTCAGATACGGAGACTAAAAATGCCAGTGCTGATCTGGGCTCCATCCACAGGAGAATATTGTCGAGATGGAGGTAAATCATCATTCCACTTTCTTCTGCTTTGGTCAGACCTCACCTGGTGGAATACTGTGTCCAGTTCTGGGCACCACAATTCAAGAAGGATATGGACAGGCTGGACGGTGTTCAGAAAAGAACAATCAAAATGGTCAAAGGTCTGAAAACCATAAATCCCTATGATGAGTAGTTTAGGGATCTGGGAATGTTTGACTGTGGAAGAGCACTCAGTCTTTGAGTGCCCTTCCACACAGCCCTATATCCCAGAATATCAAGGCAGAAAATCCCACATTATCTGAATGTGGACTCAGATAACCCAGTTCAAAGCAGATATTGTGCGATTTTTCTGCCTTGATATTCTGGAATATAGAGCTGTGTGGAGGGCCCTGAGAAGGGACATGATGGCCATGTTTAAATATTTGTTAGGTTGAAACATTGAAGAGTTTGTTTTCTGCTGCTCTAGAGATGAGGCCCCTAGTACACTGCCATATAAAATCCAAATTATCTGCTTTGGATTATATGGCACTGTAGACTCATATAATGCAGTTCAAACCAGATAATGTGGATTATCTGCTTTAATAGTCTGGATTATATGGCAGTGTAGAAAGGCCATATTATGGGAAGGATGGCTATGCACATTTACATTGAAAAGGGTTAGAATAATGGTTTACTCAAATACTCGGCTAGTATTTACATAAAACTGTAATTTAAGTTAAGACTATCCATCTTATCTTAAATTACAGTTTTATGTAAATATTAGCCGTCCCCTGCCACGCGTTGCTGTGGCCCAGTCTGTGTATATATATATTGTGTGTGTGTATATGTGTGTATGTGTGTTATATCTGTGTATATATGTGTGTTTGCATATATATATGTGTGGGTGTATATGTGTATATATAACTGTCAGCATTTCATTTCTATATTATATTTATACTAGCTGTCCCCTGCTACGCGTTGCTTGGCCCAGTCTGTGTATATGTGTTTTGTGTGTATATATGTGTATATGTTTGTGTATATATGTGTGTGTATATATTTGTGTATTTGTGTGTTTATATGTGTACATGCATATTGTGTATATGTGTGTGCTGTGTCTATATGCATATTTGTGTGTATATATGTATGAATGTGGATATGTATATGTGTGTGCATGTGGTGTATATATATGTGTGTGTATGTATATGTATGTGTGTTATATGTGTGTATTTGTGTGTATGAATATGTGCATATGTATATGAGTGTATGTGTGTGTGTATGTATATATGGTGTATTTTTGGGGGGTTTTAAGTCTGTTCCGCTATGGTTTTGTGAGTGTGTGTGTTTATGGGTGATGGACACTCGTTGGACTGTTAGGTGTGTTGTGTCCAAATTTCGTGTCAATTCGTCCAGTGGTTTTTGAGTTATGTTAATCCCACAAATGAACATTACATTTTTATTTATATAGTTTCTCAACACTACTTCTTTGCATGATTAATGTAATTTTATTGGTATCTATTTTTATTTTGAAATTTTCCAGTAGCTGCTGCATATCCCACCCTTGGCTTAGACTCGAGTCAAGATGTTTTCCCCATTTTTTGTGATAAAATTAGGTGTCTCGGCTTATATTCGGGTTGACTTATACTCAAGTATATATGGTAGATGGTCCTTTGGGTCTTTTCCAGTTCTAGGTTCTATGCTGTTATTGTTGTTTTCTAAAAACCAGCTTACTTTGTTGTCCTGATTGCATTGCCTTTTGAAGATAAACTTTACTTGTCATCTTGGTTGTAATTCCCAGTGCCAAAGAAAATGAAAACTGAGGTGCAAGACCCAGAGAGAGACGAAAAGGGGGAAAGAATGGAGATGGGACAAAATGCCTGTGACGACATCGTTGTCCAAGGGACCCAAGAGAAGTTCCCAGCTTTGGCGAAGCAAATTAAGCAGGAACCAGAGAATGAGGAAGAGTGGCCGGAACAGTACTGGGAAGCCAAATGGCAGGACTTCCTGAAGACCTTGCAGGCCCCTTATTTAGGAAGGAGCTTCCCTCAGCTGTCTCCACCCCACTCAGTGGAAGCCCCCAAGGAATGTCAAGCCGCCATTAAGGAAGGTGCAGAGCCCACCTGTGGTCCGGAAATTTGAGCCAGCCCACCGAAGACACCCAGGAGAACCTCAACACCAGCTCGGGTGTTTCGGTGAAAGTGAAGGAAGAGATTCCAGATGAGGATACTGTCACTTTGGAGGAACGGCGGCAGCGGTTCAGGAAATTCTGCTACCAAGAAGCCGAAGGGCCCAGAGATGCCTGCAGGCAGCTCCAGGAACTTTGCTCCCAATGGCTGAACCTGGAAAGGTGCACCAAGGAGCAGATCTTGGAGCAGGTCATCCTTGAGCAATTCTTGACCATCTTGCCCGAAGAAGTGCAGAGCTGGGTCAGGGAAGGCGGGCCAAGGACCTGCGCTCAGGCGGTGACTCTGGCAGAAGATTTCCTCCTGGGACTGAAGGGAAGACAAGGGCAGGTGGGTGTGTTTTGGCTTAAAACACCAAAACATTTAAAACACATAGATTATCTATATAAATAAAAATGTAATGTTTGTTTGTGGGATTAACAGAACTCAAAAACCACGAACGAATTGACACCAAATTTGGACACAAGACATCTAACAACCCAATGTATGTCCTTCACTCAAAAATGATTTTGTCATTTGGGAGTTGTAGTTGCTGGGATTTATAGTTCACCTACAATCAAAGAGCATTCTGAACCCACCAACGATGGAATTGAACCAAACTTGGCACACAGTTCTCCCATGACCAAAAGAAAATACTGGAAGGGTTTGGTGGGCAGTGTCCTTTGGTTTTGGAGTTGTAGTTCACCTACATCCAGAGATCACAGTGGACTCAAACAATGATGGATCTGGACCAAACTCTACACAAATACTCAATGTGCCCAAATGTGAACACTGGTGGAGTTTGGGGAAAATAGAATCTTGACATTTGGGAGTTGTAGTTGCTGGGATTTATAGTTCACCTACAATCAAAGAGCATTCTGAACCCCAACAACGATGGAATTGAACCAAACTTGGCACACAGTTCTCCCATGACCAACAGAAAATACTGAAAGGGTTTGGTGGGCAGTGTCCTTTGGTTTTGGAGTTGTAGTTCACCTACATCCAGAGATCACTGTGGACTCAAACAATGATGGATCTGGACCAAACTCTACACGAATACTCAATATGACCAAATGTGAACACTGGTGGAGTTTGGGGAAAATAGAATCTTGACATTTGGGAGTTGTAGTTGCTGGGATTTATAGTTCACCTACAATCACAGAGCATTCTGAACCCCACCAATGATAGAATTGGGCCAAACCTCCCACACAGAACCCCCATGTGGGTCACAGCAACGCGTGAAAGGGGACAGCTATTAAACACATAAACAGAAACTAAAACACAGATGGAAGTCGTCCATACCTATAAAATTTCAATTTAAAATCAGTTTCACATGCTGGAAGAAAAGGGCCTTTCATTCTGTTTGTTTTTTTAACTTCAGCTAACAAATCATTAACTTCAGCTAACAAAGGGAGTATGGGTGACATATAATGCCGCTATCTCTTCTCTTCACCCTGTTTTCTGTCCTAAATTATATCTTTTTAAACCATTTTTGGAGCCATGGTGGCACAATGTTAAACCTGAAAGTTGGCAGTCCAGATCCGCAAGATGGGGTGAGCTCCTGTCTGTCAGCTCCAGCTCCTTCCAACCTAGCAATTCGAAAACATGCAAATATTAGTAGATCAATAGGTACCGCCTCGGCGGAAAAAGGCAATGAGACGCTCCAAGCAATCTTGCTTCTCACAAGACTTCACATCTTGCGACAAGGGCATGGTCTGGCGTTAATTTATAATCAGGCATCAGAAATGCATTTCATTTGAGAGGACCTGCTGATATATTTTTTTGTGCTAAAGCCAGTGTTGACTGCTTGGTGTAGGATTGGGATCTTTGTCTAAAAACCAAACTAAACATTTTGCCCTCTGCCTCACTTCCAGGATCTAGAACCTTTTCAGGAAGTGACTGTCCGTTCTCCCAAGATGGAACAGGAGCCATCGGATGCTGAAGACGTGGACCTCTTCATGGACGTAGAACAGGACAGCGATGGGGAATCAAACTTACTCAGTAAGTGTTGACAGAAGGTGAGTCTGGAATGACCACGGATGGGAAACACTGAACCAGCTGTCAGAGGGTGCATCTACACTGTAGAATTAATGCAGTTTGACACCTCTTCAACCACCACAGTTCTATTATTATTATTATTATTATTATTATTATTATTATTATTTGAAACACAAGAAGATGAGGCCACAGCAGACAAGATCGGACACTTCCCAAGTGTTTAGGACTGTGTGATGTATCGGTGAATAATGCGTGCAGATCCCAGTAAGGTGGCCTTTTGCAACTGGCAGATGGTAATTTTGTCAGTGCCAATTGTGTTTAATAATAATAATAATCAAAGCCAGAATTTAAAAGTCGACAACAGATCCCAAATGTGATATTCACAGACAAAGGCAAAGGCTTCCTCTTTCATCTCTGGCTTCTTAACGCATTGCTCAACTCCAGCTCTGGAGGAGGCATTCATCTCTATTTCCAAACTGAGGTGCCTGTGTTGTCCATAGACATCTCCTGGTCATGTGACCGGCATGATTGCTTAGAGTGCCTGTTTGCCTTCCCGACAAGGCGGTACCTATTGATCTACTCACATTTGCAGTAGGTCAATAAATTGAACTGCTAAATTGGCAGGAGCTGGGGCTAACAGCAAGAGCACACCCCAACCTGCGGATTCGAATAGCCAACCTTCAGGTCAGCAAATTCAGAAGCTCTATGGAGGTTTGAGAAGAGTGGGATATAAACGTTGTAAATAAATAAATAATAAATAAAAAAGGTCAACAGCAAGCTAGACTATTAATGGTCAGGAGCTTACTCCAAACTGGGCTGGCTTCGAACTCACAACCACTCGGTTAGTAGTGATTTAATGCAGCTGGCTACTTACTATTTAAAACTACATCTCCCTCACAAGTAGGTCCATACTAGTGACTGTCTGTTTTCTTTCCCCAGCATCTAATGCAGCGACGAATGAAGATGAAACTCCACAGTCAGAAAGATCCAGGTCCCTTAAATCCAGCAGAATGACCATGGGGAAATTTTCCCACAATTCTCTCTTTTCAGGAAATGGGGAAAAGATGCATATTCTTAAGCCTCAGAGACTTGAGGAGGTCGATGTGAAGGCAATCTCATCGGAAAGTCCTGTTGGGACACCTTTGCATGTGCCTAGAGTGGAAAAAAGGCACGTAAGTGAGTATGAGTTGAAAACCCTTCAGGAAAACCCTTTGGTGAAGACATTAAGGCAGAATGTCGGATGCAGGGAGGAAAGCAGGCTGGATTTAAATGCAAACCCTTCCCAAGATAGAGCCACCCAGTACCTACTGGAAAAGACAGGCATCGTCTCTGGGCCAAGGCCCAATCTCTTCCTGCCTGCCATGTTGCAGGGATACGAGTGCTCGTACTGCGGCAAGCGGTGGCCGTGCCGATCCCAGCTCCTCCGGCACCTCAGAACCCACACCGGCGAGCGGCCGCACAAATGCTCCGACTGCGGGAAGAGCTTCAGCACCAGCTCGCACCTCAGCCAGCACAAAAGGGTGCACACGGGCGAGAGGCCGTACAGCTGCAAAGACTGTGGGAAGAGCTACCGCCGGCGGGCCTCCTTGGTCCAACACGAAAGCGAAACGTGCAAGAAGGGAAGCCACTTGAATGCTCCGGCACCGCCGGTGGATTACGTAGTGTTAGGAAACTGCACTTTGCTGTACATGAAGAAGTCGACGCAAGGCAGGCGGAACCGGGTGATCGCTCCGAAGGGAGGGGAAGCCCTTTTGGCAGCTCAGCCCTTAAAGATCATAACAGGATATCCTCCAGAGAGGAGCGACGCCGACAATTAAACAACGAGGTAAGATCCCCTACAGATGGGGGCTCGCTCGATGAAAGAAAATTCTACCTGGGAAAGAGTGCGACTCGGAGAACTGCAGCAATTAATAGTTGTTCTAAGCAGACTTGGACAAAAGCATCAGATTTGTGAGCGTCGCAAAACTGGGTTCTAGCAGTCTAGAGAAAAGGAAGAGGCTCAAACAATCACAGAAAGGCTTGCAGAAGAACACAAATACAATAACAACTATGCTGAAAACAGTGTGGCTTATGCCTGATGTGTTCCAAATGGAAGTGCTTTTGGTCACCACTTTGGAATGACAATACAGAGAACAGTATCTATAAAGACGGGAATATCTGCTCAAAATACTCTGAGGCTCAAAAACTACACATTTCTTTCTAAACAATCTGAAACACGGGTGTGGTGGTGCAGCTCACATGAACCCTAGGCTACACAACGAGTGGTAAACAGCTATGGGCATTGCAGAACATTAACCGGAAGGTCACGAATTCTGCTGTTGCTGGCTTCAGATATGCTAAACTGAGCATAGCCAAATGTCAGCTAGTTAGGGATGGCATTACTAGTCTTCCTTGTTTTTCCAGGTCCAAGGAGACATGGGGCACTTAACATTGCTGATGGGTTTATTTGACTTAGAAGTATGTGTGTTTATGACACACGAGACAGAAATGCTGTTCTGAATAAATGGATATTTGTTCACACTCTTGAAAAACTAGAAGTCTGTAACTGAGCCTTGATAAATTATTGTTCACCAACCTTGGAGCTGAAATCATATAAATACTCAAAGTTTGAAATCTTGTCTTTTTTAAAAACCTGGGAAGAAAATGTAATATAATAATATCGGGTTGTTGTAGGTTTTTTCGGGCTATATGGCCATGTTCTAGAGGCATTTTCTCCTGACGTTTCGCCTGCATCTATGGCAAGCATCCTCAGAGGTAGTGATATTGTAATATAATAAGGTAGGTAAAGGGTTTCCCCTGACATTAAGTGTAGTCGTGTCCGACTGTGGGGGTTGGTGCTCATTTCCATTTCTAAGCCAAGAGCTGGCTTTGTCTATAGACGCCTCCAAGGTCATGTGGCCAGCATGACTGCATGGAGCGCCGTTACCTCCCCACCGGAGTGGTACCTATTGATCTACTCACATTTGCATGTTTTCGAACAGCTAGATTGGCGGGAGCTGGGGCTAACAGTGAGAGCTCATGCCGCTCCTCGGATTCAAACCTGCAACCTTTTGGTTAGCAAGTTCAGCAGCTCAGCGGTTTAACCCACTGCACCACCGGGGGCTTCTAATCTATATAAATAAAAATGTAATGTTTGTTTGTGGGATTAACATAACTCAAAAACTTTTGGATGACTTGACACCAAATTTGGATACAATTCACCTATCAGGCCAATGAGTGATCATCACTCATAAAAACACTGAAAAACACAGCATAAGAGATTTTAAAAGCAAAAAGAAAACAAAACATTACAACGCATGCACGAAACCATATATATATATATACACACACACGCAAACACACATATATACACATATACACAAATATATATACACACAAAGCACATATACAGAGACTGGGCCACAGTAACGCGTGGCAGGGGATGGCTAGTATAATATAATAATACAATAAAAATAACATTTTATTTATATTCCCCAAGGAGACTCAGGGTGGATGACAGTACACATACACAGCAAACATTCAATGTCGACATGACAGAGACAGAAAGAACAGAAAGGAGGTATATTGTGTTGACTTCCTGCTTTTTGGCACCTTGGAGGTTTTGCTTGAATCCAGCCACAAGGGGGTGCTGGTGTTCCATCCTTTTTTCTTTTTTTTAAAGAAAATATGTTTATTATAATTTTGCTTACATTTGAAAAGCAGAAAGAAGGTCTTTAGGGGTGGGGTGGTTGGGGGTGGGGGTGTGCAATGGGTTAGGGGTGGAAAAAGTGGGGGAGGAAGCGACTGAAAATCAAAGAGAGAAGAGGAAGAAGAAGGAAAAAAGGAAAAAGAAGAGAAGAGAAAAGGAGGGAAATAAGAAAAGAGAAAGGGAGAGACAGACATACATAGCAGTTTTAAAATCGGATTAGGGTGCTGGTGCTCCATCCTTTATGACAAAGAGCCATCAGGATTCCCTCCTTCCTTTTGGTCACCTTTTGGCATTTTCTGATCTTTTTCTTTTGTGGTATCATAAAATACCTCCCCCACTTTTTAGCGGTACCTAATTTCTCTTACAGCTCTAAGCTGTTTTCAAACTGCTTAGGTAAACAGTGAGCTGGGCTGACAGTTGGGTACTCATGCCGACCCGGGGCTTTGAACTGGCAACCTTTCGGTTGGTAGTTCTTATCATGGTTGGTGATTTACCAGCTGCGATAAGGTTGTCTTATCACTGGAAAAACAAATGCTACTTTCTGTGCCATTATGTGGCCCGAGGGTCATTTTTGAGCTGCCAAATGCTCAGATTCCATAAGCTCATCCAGCTCACGGGATTCGAACCACCAACCCTTCAATCAGCAAGTTCAGCAGCTCAGTGGTTTAACCTGCTGCACCACCAGGCAGCTCATATTTTATTTATTTATACTATTTATATTCCGCCCTCCTCACCCCACAGGGGACTCAGGGCAGATTACAATGCACAGATTACAATGTTTATCAGGCATCCAGATAACAAGCAACATCTACCCACATTTGCATATTTTCAAGCTGCTAGGTTGGCAGGTGTATCTCACTCCACTCCCCAGATTCAAACCGCCGACCTTTTGGTGAGCAGGTTCAGCAGCTCAGTGGTTCAACCCACTGTGCCATCAGGGGCACAGCGGGTTGAAACACAATGCCATCGACATACAACATATATAGTCAGACACAGAAGCAATTTAACATTCCAGCTTTCAAGTTTCATGAGGATATGTTTGATTCCGGCCACAGGGGAAGCTGCCGCTTCACTGTCCACTTGTGACACTGAGTTCTTGATGGAGAACTTCCTCATTCTTACACACGCTGCTGGAAAGTTTTATGGTGTTGATTAATTAAATTAGCCTCCCCGCATACAATGGTACCTAAATTTCCAACAGGAAGCTAGACTATTAATGGTCAGGAGCTTACTCTGACCTGGGCTGGCTTCAAACTCATAACGTCTTGGTCAGTAGAGATTTAATGCAGTTGGCTACTAACTAGCTGTGCCACAGCCCGGTCCCATAATCACAGCAAAAAAGCCAGAGGGAAACTAGGCTTTGCTTTTGTCAAAACCTTTTATTATTTAAAAATTCCAACACATTTCAGCCTTTATCACAAGGGCTAATCTAAAAATAAAGGGAAACACATTTAATATTTGTACAGTATTTACGACATCTTATAAACAACTCTTTTTCTTCAAAATATTACCATGTCTAATATACCTACTAATCAGTTTCTGGAATTGCAGGATGCACTCTCTATACAAGTGGACAACTAATTATTAAAGTAAGAAAATATATCTTATCAGTGGATTACTTACGGGTTTTAAAAGACAACTCTATTTAAAGGAATCAATGAAAAGTAGGAAAAGGACAGTACGATGCAGTGATGGGTAAACTTGGGCCCTCCAGGTGCTGTTTGGACTTCAACTCTCACCATTCCTAACAGCCTCGGGCCCCTTCCTTTTCAGCATAAGCGGCTGACGCGGAAAAGGAAAGGGCCTGAGGCTGTTAAGAATGGTGGGAGTTGGAGTCCAAAACAGCTGGAGGGCCCGTTTGCCCATGCCTGGTATGATGTAATTTGTCCCCAAAGTTACTCTATTTCTTTACCCAGATGTATTAGGCTGAAAAATTGCTTCATTCTAGAATTTTTATATTAAGGATTGTATCTCAAAACTCAGGTTCTAAGGTCTTAAGTTTAAACGATCTATTCTATCTCCCTTTTCTCTGAACCAGGGATTATTTCTGCTATAAGATGACACAATTAGTCTCACTGGGAGAGGGAAAAACTCCTTTAGGTATTTTAGAGCAGGCCTGGGCCAACTTCGGCCCTTCAGGGGTTTTGGACTTCAACTCCCACAATTCCTAACAGCTGATAAGCTGTTAGGAATTGTGGGAGTTGAAGTCCAAAACCCCTGAAAGGCTGAAGTCTGCCCAGGCCTGTTTTAGAGCAACATATGTAAGAAAATTACTTTCCTTGAGTGTTATGCATACCAAAGAAATTCCTTCTTTAATCATAATTTTAATATGTTTGGAAAAATATCCTTAAGGATAATCTTACTGGTTTTTTGTGAAGCCAGGAAATTTTGTGAAGCCATGCCTTAAGACTTGTCCTGTGTGTATTTGAAATTTGGGAGGATTGCTATGGAAACAGGAAAAATGCAGGGGAGAACCAGGGTGAGGCGTGAGGGAAATAAACTGTCAGTTGGAACTTTGTTGTGTTCCCTAATGCATGCTTTTGAATTAAGCCTTCCAACTTTGTTTGTGAGATAATTTCTTCGCCAGAAATTTACAGATCCGGACATTTACACATATTATGTGTTGTGTCTCAGCCAGTTTAGGAAGAACTTCCTTTTGTAATCTTGCCCATTCGCTGGGCTTCAGATCACCACAAAAGTCAAAAATCATGAATAAGGGAAATTGTTATTTTTTGTTACCTGAAAAAAAAAACACCTCCACATAAATCTCTAGGTTACTCGACACAATTCCACCAGAAGTCGGTGGGATTTTGAGGTCCTCCAGTGTGACATTTCAAACAAAGTCGTGAACAATCAAATCATCCAAAGTCAAGCCTTCAAATGTGGAGGACTGACTGCATTAACAGGCCAAATAGGCAGCAAAATACAACTTCAGAACATGTAAATCCAATCCACTTGCTTCCTTTCATCTCACAATACCTTATATCCGGCTCTTGAGATAGATAAATCATCCTCCAACTATTTCTCAACTGGTATGTTGGTTGTCAAGAGCAGTATTGTGTGGATAATAACATCATCCTTGCCCAAAACATTAATATTTACAACAAAATCTCTCCCCAACAATTTCTCCCACCTTTGCATCTTCTTCATTTATTTTGTTTCATGTTTTTATTTTATTTCATGTTTTTATTTTATTTCATGTTTTTTTTTATTTTCATGCCAAATAATGCTGTTTGAACTGCATTATATGGGTCTGCACTGACGACATAATGCAATTCAAGTGGAATTATTTGGCAGTGTGGGTCCAGTCATTGCTTTCTTGAAACAGCTTATGTGTCATAACAATACTAGTGTTTTATCTTCCCAGTTCTAAAACCAGTTTGATCCTTCATTTCTATCTGTTCTTCCATTTTCATATTGTCAATAGTCGTGGGCCCAAAATTTGTCTCATCTGTTTGATTTGTGTTTCAATTTTGATCCGTCCATTCGGATGGCATGAAACGGGAGCCCCTCCTGGAACAAAAATAAATTCGATATGAAAGGCAGAAGGGAATCGGTACCAGCTCCAAGGCTGCTTTTCAGATCGATTGCCATGCGCGTAGGCCCGAAGTGTTGGGGGCCTGGCAGAGCCTGCAGCTGAGCGCTGAGTAAGGAGCACTTGGTGCTCGGCTGCAGGCCCTTCCAGACCCAGGCGAATAGGCCCAAAGCCTGCACCCATAGGCCTGGGTGCTTTGCGCCCCCCCCCCCCCAATGGGCCGAAAGAAAACTGGTATTTCGGCACCAAATACAGAAAAAAAATCTGACCCCCTGATTTCGGGAGGCTGTCAAAACAGATCGGGGGCYCCACCAAAAGTCGGGACATGAAACGGATCAAGGTTTACCAYGAATACACATGACTAAGTCAACACCATTGTCTTTTCAGTGTTAATACTGAAACCTGAAAGGTCACCAGTTCTTTTAATTTTCCCATCAGCATGTCTGTAGTGTCCAAAGGGCTTCTCAAAACTATCATAAAGTCTGGGTTGCTGTGAGTTTTCTGGACTGTATGGCCGTGGTCCAGAAGCAGTCTCTCCTGATGTTTCACCCACATCTATGGCAGGCATCCTCAGATATTGTGAGGTCTGTTGGAAACTAGTATATACCTGTGGACAAGAGTTCTTCTCCCACCCTGGACATTCCACAGATAGATAAACCTCACTTGCCTAGTTTCCAACAGACCTCACAACCTCTGAGGATGCCTTAGATGTGGGTGAAACGTCAGGAGAGACTGCTTCTGGACCACGGCCATACAGTCCAGAAAACTCACAGCAACCCAGTGATTCCGGCCATGAAAGCCTTTGATGCCACTAAGTCTTCGGCAACTGCCCTTAACTTATACCTTCCTTAATCTTTATGGTCAAAATTCTGTCTTCTTGTCTTGTATGTATGTCTGTTCTGTTCAGTATCTCAAGAACTATTTGGAACCTCGGGAGCCAATGCATGAGTTTTCTCGTGTTGTTGAAGAATGGCGTTTGAGGTGAAACTGTCTCCACAGTCTGCGCATGTATATGCTGCTTGTTTTGTGTGACTTTTCACATGTAAAATAAGGCTGGATCGCCGATCGAAGTTTCTCCCACAGTCCGAACATTTCAAGGCCTTCTCTCCCTTGTGCTTTTTCTCATGCAGTAAAAGTTGGGAATGCCAGCTGAAGGTTTTGCCACAGTGGGAGCATTTATATGGTTTCTTTCCTGTGCGGGTCTTTTGGTGGGTCTTCTCATGGTAACTCAGGTGCGAACTCCAGCAGAAACACCTCCCACATTGAAGACATTTATATGGCTTCTCTCCTGTGTGGATTCTCTGGTGCATTTTGAGATACGAGCCAGATCTAAAGGTCTTCCCACACTCTGAACATTTATAAGACTTCTCTCCTGTGTTGACTTCCTGAGGCGCAATGTCTTGCAAACTGTCCTCGCAGGTTTTTTCTTTGTGGGTTTGCACATGCGTGGCTAACTCCGAACTGGTGTCGAAGACCTTCCCACAAGCAAAACATACAAATGTGTTGTCTTCCGCATGGGTCTTCTCATGTTCGACATATTCCGATTTCTGACAGAAATTTTTCCCACAGTAGAAACACACTGTGTGCATTTTCTCGTGATATTTTAAATGTGAACTCCGGATGAAACCCTTTCCACAGCGAAGACATTCAAATGGCTTCTCTCCTGTGTGGATCCTCTGATGCACTTTGACATAGGAGGCATTCCTAAAGGTCTTCCCACACTCTGAGCATTCATGAGAATCCTCCCTGATGAGGACTTCCTGATGTGCCGTGTGTTGCAAGCTGTTCCCATATGGCTTCAACAAGAGCGACTGCTCAAATGATTTCCCTTTATGGGTTTGTGCATGCGCAGACAGCTCTGAACTGACTTCAAAGACTTTCCCACAAGCAAAACATACAAATGCGTTGTCTTCCGCATGGGTCTTCTCATGCTCAACACGTAATGATTTCTGCCGGAAGATTCTCCCACAGTAGAAGCACATTCTTGTGTGCATTCTCTCATGATATTTTAAATGTGAACTCCAGCTGAAACACCTCCCACAGTGTAAACATTTATAGGGTTTCTCCCCTGTGTGAACTCTCTGGTGTACTTTGAGATAAGAGACATTACTAAAGGTCTTCCCACACTTTGAACACTGGCATGACTTTTCACTTGTTGTGCATGTTCTTTTATGTTTGAGGAGGTCGGATGTCTGTTTGCAGTTTTTCTTACGTCCTAAAGATGTGCAAGGCTTCTCTTCCGTTTGGATTTTGTCTGTTGGGTTGTACCCAAAGGTATTTCCACAATGGGAACACCTACGGGGCTTCCGACCCTTGTGAGTACCCACACTTTCTCCACACTGGGAACATTTGTACACTTTTTCACCCACATGGGTTCTCTCATGGATTAGACGATCTGAGATGCTACTGAAGCTCTGTCCGCAGTGCCAACATTTGTATGGCTTCTCCTCTACATCAGGGCCTTCATGCATGACGCAGTCACCGTCCTGACTGAAGTGTTCCCCATTTGCAACATTCTCTTTGCCATTTCCATTGCTGTCGTCTGCCTTCCCTTGGTTCTGATCAGGTTCACTCTGACACAGGAAACTGTCCTCTTTGCAAGTTTCTGTGGATGCCATCAGTTGCTCCACTGACTCTTTATCATCAAGTTGGGTTTTCTTCCCCTTGCTTTCAATCGGTCTTGCACTACCTGCTGAGAGGAAAAGATAGATAATCTAAATAACACTCAAAACATTGTATTCGAATTAGAGAAATACATAGATTGTGCAGGCTCCCATACTTTCCCTCTTTGGTGGTTTTAATGAGATAACAATATATAATCGAGAATAAGTTGAGTTTTTCAGCCCTTTCTGAGGCTGAAAAAGCCCTCCTCAGCTTATACTTGAGTCAAAATTATTTATTATTTTACTTTGTTATTATTATTACATTTACATTATTTTATTCTATTATTATTACATTTATTACTTTACTCTAATTATTATTATTACACTATTATTTTCCTATTATTGTTATTATAACATTTATTATTTCACTCTATTCATTAATGTTACTACATTTATTATTTTATTCTATTACTATTACATTTATTATTTTGCTCTAATTATTATTATTACACTATTATTTTCCTATTATTGTTATTATAACATTTATTATTTCACTTGATTTATTAATGTTATTACATTTATTATTTTACCCTATTATTGTTGTTACTATTAAATTTCCATTATTTTACTCTATAATAATAATAATAATAATAATAATAATAATAATAATAATATAAACCTTTATTTGTACCCCGCTACCATCTCCTGAAGGACTCGGTGCGGCTTACAAGAGGCCGAGCCCAAATACAACAATAAAACAACAACAACAATAATACAGCAAAATAAATCAAAAACAAGCAATAACATTAACAACACACAATGATGCAATTAAAAACTACGGCAGGGCCAAATGTAATAATTAAAATTAAAATTAAAAAGTGCTGCATGACCAGGAGAAAGGGTGGGTGTTTGGAGAGGGATGGGTATGCAGATATCCTAAATCTCTGATAAAGTGCGTTGGGGACAAAATGCTTAGGAGTTTCCTTATTCTGGGAAGGCACACTGGAACAATCACATTTTCAAGCTCCTCCTAAAAATTGCCAGCAATGGGGCTTGCCTGATGTCCTTAGGGAGAGAGTTCCAGAGTTATTATTACATTTATTATTTTACTCCATTGTTGTTATTTTTATTACATTTACTATTTTACTCTATTATTATCGGAAGGATGCATAAGCACATTTACATTGAAGAAGGTTAGAATGTTTAATCAGAGTTGGCCAGTCTTATCTTAAATAGTTTTATGTAAATATTCAAAAACATTTAACCTACTGATGCCTCAATTAATGTAATGCTATTGTATCTATTTTTATTTTGAAATTGATCACTTTGACCAGGGACCACTTGACCAGGGGCCACTTTGAACAGAGACTTCTAGAACAGAGGCTACTTTGACCAGGGACATGACCAGCGACCACTTGAACAGGGACCATTTGAAGCAGTGGTACGCAAGAACTAAAATATGGTCAGCAGCCGCACCTTTCCTACACCATTGCAATGAGAGTGACTGGTCTTGCAAAGCCCTCTTATAGTGCCGAGGCTTATTAAATATGGTTTTCTGTGAGCGAGATGGCGACTACTGGATGGCATATGTTCTTTTTTTGTTAAATATTTTCTTATTATTTTATCATGGTTCAATACATTTGTTATACGTTGTTTGTTTTACAGCAGATACATATTATTCAATACAACTTACCATAATTTAACTTTTGGCATCTAGTGTTATTTTTCTGCTTATACATATTATCTGTCCCTCACCGCTACGCTCCCCTCCCCCCCCCTCCCAAGCCATAGCTTTTACATATCATCTGTCCAAAATTTCAATTCTTCTTGTGGAGGTAACTTTCCTTCTTTATTTTTAAATCCTTTTTTCAATAATTTTTCTCCATACATCATCGAAATCACTTTGTTTCCATATACGTCTTTTAACTTTTGATATACATGTCAATTTATCATTTATTGCCAATTTCCATACTTCCTTATACCACTCCTCTATTTGTATATTTATTTATCTTTTCCAGTTTCTTGCTATAAGCAGTCTTTCTATTGTTAGTAAATTTGTTATCGCATCTTTATCATCTTTTTTCAATTGTTTATTATTATATAATGATAATAAAGCTATACTAGGGCTTCTTTCTATTTTAATGTTGGATGGCATATGTTCTGAATCAGAAGCTAGAGCTGATGTGGTCTATCCAATGCAATTTTCTGAATCAGCACCTCAAATAACCAAACCAAATCCAAAGTTGACCAAAAACTGATTTGTAACCCTTTCGGTACTAATACTGGAGAGTGGTCACTGGTCAAAAAGAGGTTGGGAACAACTACATTAGATGGTTTGCAGGACCTCCTAACTCTTCAAAAAGGTGAAAAAGAGAGAAAAATCCTATCAAAGAGGACCAAGGCAGTGACTAGAATGAAAGATTGGACAAGCATGACACTGTACATCTTTGAGAAAGAGGTTGGGAGAAAAATAAAAGCCAAGGAAAAGATATAATCAGAGCAGATGACCATGAGACATCTAATACTAGTTGGCACTTCTGCTAGTATTTAAATAAAGAGAGACTGAAGATGAGTCTCCCCCAAAACTGAACATTTATAAGACTCCTCACCTGTATGGATTCTCTGATGTGTTCTCAGAGCTCTACCATTTCTAAAGCTCCTCTCACACACAAGACATGTGGAAGGCTTCCGACCTCTGCATGTTATTTGCGGTTTCAGAATCTCTGGTTTCTGACTGCGTCTTTTCCCACGTTTTGAAGATGTCTCGAGTGTTTCTTGAAGGGTTTTTCGACAGTGCAGACACATATTTGACTTCTGACCTTTGTGGAACCTCTGACTTTCTCCACAGTGAGCACATGTATACACTTTCTCCCCCACATGGGTTCTCTCATGGGTCAGAAGGTCTGGGCTGCTACTGAAGCTCTGTCCACAGTTCCAACACGTGTATCTCTTCTCTACATCAGGATCTTCTTGAATGAGCAGGTCAGAGTCCTGGCTAAAGTATTTCCCATTTTGGTCATATTTCTCTGCATTCTCCTCTTCCCAGCTAGTAGGCGCACGGTTGCTTTTGCAAACACTTTGGGCTGGAACAAAGGGATCCTCTATCTTCACAGGTGTCATCAGCTGCTCCATTTCCTTGTTACTCTCAAGCTGGGGCTCCTCACTTTCAGTCAACTGTACATCACCTGCTGAGAGAGAGAAATAAATAAAGAAGATCTAGGCACATCCCAGTCATTGTACTCAAAGGAGAGAGCTCCACAGACTGGGTGAGCTGAGTTCCATAGTTCCATAAGTTTAGAAGAGTTGGAAGTGACCTCATGGGCCATCTAGTCCGACCTCATTCTGTCAAGAAGCAGGAAAATCACATTTGTTTGTTTATTTATTTATTTATTTCAAGCATTTATATCTCATCCTTCTCACACACACACCCCGAGGAGGAGTGGGGGGAGCTCAGGATGGCTCACAACTGGAAGTCATTAGATGCTATGCATGGGCAATCCATGGTTCTAAATGGTTCTAAAGTACTTACAAAACTAAGCGGTGCTGGTGCTTTGCTTCTACAGTGTTGAAGTTCTGGTGGTGAAAATTTCAGAACTCTAAACTTTTAAACCTCTGTAACATTCAACACCCTTCAAAAGGCCTTCAACAGATTTCCATAGATACCTGGAACCTTGCAGGGATAGTCAATTAATTCTGAGAAGAAACATTTCAAGAATATTGTGTTCTAGACAAATTAATTTCAGTTAACTAAAAGCCATCTGTAGCCAAGTTTCATGTTCAGTACTGGATGCTAGAACTTTCCTAACCAAGAGAAACAAGGTAGGAGGTGTTCCTTCTCACAGGCCTATGGACTGTTTTGTTACTATGCTTTGCAGAACCTTATAACTCAAGTGTTTCTCAAACTGTGTTCCTCCAGTTGTCATGGACTTCAGCTCTCAGAAATCCCAGCTGTTAGGAATTGTGGGAGCTGAAGTCCAAAACATCTAGAGGAACACAGTTTGAGAAACACTGAGTTATAGGATTCTGCAAAGCAAAGTAACCAAACAGTCCATAGGCCTGTGAGAAACTGCTATAACTCTTCAAAAGGGTGAGGGACACACAGACTGAGAGGGGGGATACAGAGAAATTGTTGCTTAAGAGGGCTAGGAGATGATTAGAAAGAAAAGCTGATCAAGCATGATGTGGGAGACCACTAAAAAACAACAACAACAATAAACAACTTTATTTAATACCCTGCCACCATCTCCCCAATGGGGACTCGGGGCGGCTTACATGAGGCCAAGCCCAACAGAATATTACAATAAAATAAAACCAAAAGACAATAACAACACAGTAAAATATATACAACATATGAGTACAAAGACGATAAAGCAAAATTACACACAGTAAAATAAAATAACATAACAATGAGCGAACCGCATGTGCAAGATAAAAACTAAGATATTAAAAATAGGATGAGATAGGGATGGAGCAGGTTGTTTCTGGGGGATAAACTTGTAAAGGAACGGGGTCATAAATATAGACCTTCATACAGGTGGGGAATATACTCTGGGGACAAAAACCGTTGAGGGGGAGTTACAATTAAGAGAAGATTAAAAGCTAAGGAAAAGGCACCAGAGAATAGTTTCTATCTCATGTAGAGTTGGCACTTCTGATAGTATTAAATAAAACCAGTTCTGGAGAGACTTACCAACAGCATTTTCAGTCCCAGCATGTTTGTGCTCAGTCTCTGTTCGACGCTTCATCCTCGGCTGAGCCTCTTTTGCCTTGGGGGGATTTGCAAACATGTCTTCAGACATCTCAGTGATCTGGGGAGAGGGTGGAAAACATGTCAAAATGAAGTCAGGAGGGAAGCAGAACATGTTTTAGGAGGGTGGGTGGCAAAGGATATGATTACAGTTACTTGTTCAATCGATACAGAGTAAGTACTGTATATGCTCAAGTATAAGCAAAATTTTCCAGCCCTTTTTAAAGCTTAAAAAGCCCCCCTGGGCTTATACTCGTCAAAGTTATTTGTTATTTTACTCTGTTATTATTATTTTATTACATTTATTATTTTATTCTATTTATTATTATTATTACATTTATTATATTACTCTATTATTATTTTACTCTATTATTAGTGTTATTATTACATTTACATTATTTTACTCAATTATTATTATTTTTATTACATTTATTATTTACTCTCTTTATTATTATTGGAAGAATACCTAAACACATTTACATTGAAGGAGGTTAGAATAATGGTTTAATCAAAGTTGGACAGTCTTACCTTAAATTATAATTTTATGTAAATATTCAAAAACATTTAATCTACTGATGTCTCAGTTAAGGTAATTTTATTGGTTTCTATTTTTATTTTGAAATTTACCAGTCGCTGCTGCATTTCCCACCCTCGGCTTATACTCAAGTCAATAAGTTTTCCCAGTTTTCTGTGGTAATATTAGGTGACCCGCCTTACATTCGGATCGGCTTATACTTGAGTATATACGGTAGTTGTGCCGTTCTTACATGTGAAGGTCTGGCACATAGCTTTCTAATAATGGCCAAAAGGTGAGAGCTTCTTTTTGCTGTCACAGTATCCAAAAGAGGGTGGAAAGGCTGCAAAGCACTGCAGAACAGGTCCTCATATTTGCTCCATTTTAATAGCATCAACTATGCTTATTTCTATGGCTGTTTTAGAGGGAGAAAAAGGTGGTAAAGAGAAAAGGGGAGGAAGAACCGAGACAGGGATTTGGATGAGCACAACTAACACTAAAGCAGCCCTGTAGTCCCTTGGCCCACCACAATAAAGGGAAAGACCCAATGTGACTCCAAATGGAAGACCATGCAAGGGGGCTCCCTCTTTGTTTCTGTTCCTAAGGCTCACAATAACCAGTTCCATAATTCAATGTAACCTGGAACCTAAGATTTCACTTCCCCCCTCCTCTCCTGCGCGGCATGACTCAATGGTTGTGTCAGATGACCTAGAGCAGGTATTTCCAAACTGTTGTCCTCCAGCTGTTTGGGACTCCAACTCCCAGAAGCCCTAGCCAGCTTGTTGAATTGTCAGGAATTCTGGGAGTTGGAGTCCCAAACAGTTGGAGGGCAGCAGTTTGAGGAGGCCTGACCTAAATATTCCTAGAGAAGTATTCTTGTTTACAGCATTTATATTCCATCCTTCTCACTCCAAAGGGAACTCAGGGCAGATCGCAGAACACATACACGGCAAATGTTCAATGCCGTTAGACATAGAAGACAGACAGACGGACAGAGGTATGAGTCGGCAAGTTTCCAACTTCAGTGTCCTGGAGGTTATGCTTTATTCCAGCTACAGGGGGGTGCTGTCACTTCATCCTCTATAATGACAAGCCTTTTGATCACAGACATTTCTCCTGTTATTTGATCCCCAGCTTTTTTATGGTGTTGTAAAATACCTCCCCACTTAAGAGGTGCCTAATTCTCTATTCACAGCTCACAGCTGTTTACAAACAGCTCAGGGGGACAGTAAGCTAGGATCAAGATCAGGTGCTCATCCCGAGCCAGGCTTGAACTGCCAACCTTTCAGTTGGGTGCTGGTGATTAACTAACTGTGCTAAAGCCCGGCCCTTAAAAACCATTTTTCTTTTTAATCCAGATTTTTAACTTTTGTCGGAGTTCTGACCTTTTAATTAAGAGAAAGTGGAGGGCCGAATGTAAAACATATGTAATAAGAAACTCAATGTGCAGATTTGATAAATGTGGATTTAATATATGTGTGGGAATGAATGGAAGGATGTATGGATGGAGCTAATAATTTTGGAAACATCAATAAAATATTAAGGCTTGCAATGACTAACTACCTGCTTTCTGGACTGTAATTAAAAGTTGCTAATAAGAACTGAAAAGTAAACTCTGATGAGAACTGTGACAATGGTTCTTTCAAGTTAAGGAAATGTTTGCAACATTCCTTATGTTAAGAAGAAAGTCAACACAAGCTTTGTGTTTGTCAATACAAATCAAGAAGACTCAACATCTAGCCAGGAAACTGAGAAGGAACCAGGATGGAAGATGTCTATCATTAATTTACAACTTTGGGACTACATCAGCAGAATATTTCTATAAAAGACTCAATCTAATAATGCTCAAATTGTGACAGACCTGAGGGGTCTGGTTCACCCACCTCTCCAGTCCATGGGAAGGACAGAGATGGGGTATTCGGAGAGTGGCAGATTTCCAAGGAAGCAGTCTGGTCACTTTGGCCTTCTTTCTCAAGGGAAGAGGAAGAAGGGCACTTTTGGGATCTTAGATTTTGTGCAGCGAGTCAGGTTCTGCTGTATGGGAAACAGATATCTAGTCCTTGGCATTGTGCTTAGGGAAAGGATGCATTTCGGAGTTTTGAAGTTTTGGCATTTGAAAGTTTTGGAGCTGTGCGTTGGCAGGCTGCAGGAAAGCAGGGTCTGGCCTAACAGGTGCTTCTCCAAGGAGGGAAGAAAGGATATGGTAATAGTTGGATGCATGACGATGAATGTATGTACATGTGGTGTGAATGGTGATGGAAAATGTAATTCTCCTTTGTTTGTTTGTTAGTCATGCAATTGTAAATCCAAGGTAGTTGCATAGAATCTGTATGTCCTAGAGAAGTGCACTTGGAAAGTACCAGACGCAGGGCTTTTTCTATTTCTGCTCCTGCCTTATGGAATTCCTTGCCATCCTATATGAGAGCCATGCGTGACTTAGGGCCTTTTACTCTAGCAGTTAAGACCTGGCTTTTTACTAGAGCATTCAATCTCTGTTAATTTTTAATTTCTGTATGTATGTATTTTATCTTTTACAATTTAGCTGTAAATCGCCTAGAGCATTCTCGGATGGAGGGCGATTAATAAGTAATTAAATATGATGATGATGATATCTGCATGTCCAATGTCATTCTTTGTCTAAATGTTTTTCTGTAATCTGATGTACCCTCTCACACTGGAAATTGCAATAAAAAGAACCTATGCTTTAAACTTATTGAAAAGTTATTCATGACACATAAGATATGGAAACAACATCCCAAATTTACCTCGGTACAGCAGTTCTGTCTGCTGCACCAACGTAAAAAATGAAAGCTTGCGTACATAAAAAGGTCTTATCCTGTCAGGAGAAACATATCTGACTGTAGCAAGGTTATTAGGTAGTCAGACTATGAAAACAACAGGCCATAGGACTTGTGAAAACAATTGGGAAGAAAACACTCACCTGCCCTTCCCTGCCTTTGGATCCTCGATGCATCAGAAGGAAATCCTCCGCCAGGGCCACAGCCTGGGAGCTGGTCTGGGGATAGCGTCCCCTCAGCCATTTCTGCATATCTGGGGGCAGGGCAGCCAGGAACTGCTCCAGTGTCACCAGGTCCAAGATCTGCTCCTTGGTGTGTCTCTCCGGCATCAGCCACTTCTGGCAGAGTTTCCGGAGCTTCCCCCAGAAGTTTCGGGGCCCTACAGCTTCTTGGTACATCAACATCCGAAAATGCTGGCGTTGTGTCTCCAACCCAAGAGCACCTTTCTGTGGTGTTGTGACCTCTTTCCCAGGGCGCGTGGCAACCGGATAGCATTCATCATCCCCTGTAGCTTCCCCAATGGTAGCCCACACTCCCTTGGGAGAGTGGCTAGTCTCGGCCATTCGATGGGGAAGGACGCGAGGGGTAGTGCGCTGCGGGGCTTTCCCTGCCGAACTAGGAAACTGTAATGTCCTCAGAAAATCTTCAAACTGAGCATTCCAGTTCCGTGAGGCATCTTCCTTTGCTTTCTCTTTCAGCATTTCTTCTGCTTCTTCTGTGCTGCTTCCCATTTTGGGGAGAGTTGCTCCTTCAAAGACCTCTTCTGCTTCAGGACCTATTGAACCATGCACTTCCATTTTTATTTCTGGATCTAGAAATCCAGAGGATTCTGTTTCTTGTATTGCAGCCATTCCCTTCCAAAGAAATCTGCTTTGTTGTGCCTCTTGGCCTCTGCTTTTCAGTACCAGTCCTTGAAAAATTCCTGAGATTATCCCCTTCCCATTACACTCATCTAGTTACTCTTCCAGCAAACTCTTCTTCGATGAATGCAGCAAAATACTCTTGTTACAGTCAATGGGGGTCAGCTATTCTTCAGGGTGGACAAAATCTGCCTTTTCCTAAGAGAAAAACACATGAGTCGTTAAATTGAAGTCCAATGCCTGGGAATTTAGTTATTATGATTTTTCTTTTTACATGTATGTTGGCAATGAATTTTTGCCACTGGTATGATATAAACCACCTTGAGTCCCCTTGAGAAAGGCAGGATATAAATATTTATTTATTTATTTACTGTATTTATTACCGCCTTTCTCAGTCCGAAGGCAACTCAAGTTTACACTTGGCACAATTTGATTCCTCCCAACATATAAAATGCAATTGAAAACATAGCATATAAAATATAGTTTCATAAAAGTCAATAAATTCATACATCCTTAATGTCTCCTTACTGAAATCACTATTCAATCACATACATAAACAAATGTCTTTATTAAGGGTGGGCAAAAGAAAAGTGGGTGCCATTTGCCCAATTTATGTGGTATCTGTCCCAACTGGAAATCATGTCACAACATCTCTAGTTTCATTTTCAATCAGTTTTGAGGAATTTTTTAAACACAGCAGCCTTCACACTGGAGTTTTCTCTCACAAGGCTTCTCTCACACTCCTCACGAGGACACTAGCTTTGGCCCACTAACTCTAACAGGTTTCGGCCTACTCACTCTTCTCAAGACGACACTAACTTTGGCCCACTAACTCTAACAAGCTTCGGCCAACTCACTCTCCTCAGGACGACACTAGCTTTGGCTCACTAACTCTTAACAGGCTTTCGTCTACTCACTTCCCTCAGGACAACAGTAGCTTTGGCCCACTGATTCTAACAGGCTTTGGCCTACTCACTCCCCTCAGGACGGCACTAGCTTAGGCCCATGGACTCTTAACAGGCTTCAGCCTATGCATTCTCCTCAGGTTGACACTAGCTTGGGCCCACGGACTAACAAGCTTTGGCCTACTCTCTCCGCAGGACAACACTAGTTTTGGCCACTAACTCTAACATGCTTCAGCCTATGCACTCTCCTCAGGATGACACTAGCTGTGGCCCTCTAATCCTAACAGGCTTCGGCCTATGCACTCTCCTCAGGACGACACTCGCTGTGGCCCTCTACTTCTAACATGCTTCAGCCTATGCACTCTCCTCAGGACGACACTCGCTGTGGCCCTCTAATCCTAACAGGCTTCGGCCTACTCACTCCCCTTAGGACAACATTAGCTGTGGCCACTAACTCTAACAGGCTTCGGCCTACGCACTCTCCTTAGGGCGACACTAGCTGTGGCCCTCTACTTCTAACATGCTTCGGCCTACTAACTCTTTCAGTGCTTGACTCACATTTTTGGTAATTAAAAACGACTAGTTAATTTTTAATATTTCTGACAGCGTATTCTGCTCCCAAGGAGAGCATACATCCCAATCTTATGTCTCTAGGCAGGGCATTCCAGTCGAGTGAACAAGAATGTAATATAATTTACTTATAATGTGCTGATAACATTACTGTTAAATGCTATATATGCTATAAAGTCTAGACAATTTACTCCATTAGAAAACATATTATTTATATTATTTTCTTGAGAGTCTTATAAAATACACATACATACATTCTTGTTTCTATGTTACTATAGATATTTGTGCATTGTTTGCTTTGCATTCCAGTCGAGGGGCCACCACTGAGAAGGCCCTGTCTCTCGTCCCCACCAAACGCATATGTGAGGAAGGCGAGAGGAGGGCCTCCCCAGAAGATCTTAACGTTCTGGATGGTTCGTAAGGAGATTATCAAGTTCAGCAGCTCAGCGGTTTAACCTGCTGCACCAACAGGAGCCCCATATAGTTATAATAACTGCTAAAGACCTTAGGTTGACTAAGGGTACATCTACATCAGGCATGAGCAAACTACGATCCTCCAATTTTTTTGACCTTCAACTTTCAAAAATCTCAGTCACCTTACTGGCTGTTAGGAATTGTGGAAATTGAAGTTCAAAACACCCGAAGGACCCAAGTTTGCCCATGCCTGGTCTACATTATGTTTATGTTTATGTTATTGTTCATCCATTGCATCATGCTATTTGTGTTGTTATTTATTTGTTCAGTCGTCTCTGACTCATTGTGACCTCATGGACCAGCCCATGCCATAGCTCCCTGTCAACTGTGGCCACCCCCAGTTCCTTCAAAGTCAAGCCAGTCACTTCAAGGATACCATCCATCCATCTTGCCCTTGGTCGGCCCCTCTTCCTTTTTCCTTCCACTTTCCCCAGCATCATTGTCTTCTCTAGGCTTTGCTGTCTCCTCATGATGTGGCCAAAGTACTTCAACTTTGTCTCTAGTATCCTTCCCTCCAGTGAGCGGTCGGGCTTTATTTCCTGGAGGATGGACTGGTTGGATCTTCTCGCAGTCCAAGGCACTCTCAGCACTTTCCTCCAACACCACAGCTCAAAAGCATCGATCTTCCTTCGCTCAGCCTTCCCTAAGGTCCAGCTCTCACAACCTTAGGTTACTACAGGGAATACCATGGCTTTGACTAGGCAGATCTTTTTTTTGCCAGTGTGATGTCTCTTTACTATTTTATCAAGACTGGACATTGCTCTCCTCCCAAGAAGTAAGCGTCTTCTGATTTCCTGGCGCAGTCTGCATCTGCAGTAATCTTTGCACCTAGAAATACAAAGTCTGTCACTGCCTCCACATTTTCTCCCTCTATTTCCCAGTTATCAATCATTCTTGTTGCCATAATCTTGGTTTTTTATGTTTAGCTGCAACCCAGCTTTGTGCTTTCTTCTTTCACCTTGATTAGAAGGCTCCTCAGCTCCTCCTCGCTTGTACTGTTATTGTTATTGCTTGTCTTGTTGTATTTTGGGCTCGGCCTCATGTAAGCTGCACCGAGTTCCTTGGGGAGATGGTAGCAGGGTATAAATAAAGTGTTGTTGTTGTTGTTGTTGTTGTTATTATAGAATCAATGCAGTTTGGCACACATTTTATTGTGGTAGCTCAATGCTATGGAATTAATGAAGTTATTGTTTTATAAGACCTTTCACCTTCTCTGCCAAAGAGTGCTGGCGCCTCACCACACTATAACTACAGGGATCGCATAGCATCGAGCTATGGCAGCTAAATGTATTGTCGAAGGCTTTCATGGGCTGGAAACACTGGGTTGCTGTGAGTTTTCCAGGCTGTATGGCCATGTTCCAGCAGCATTCTCTCCTAACGTTTCGCCTGCATCTGTGGCAGGCATCCTCAGAGGTTCTGTTGGCAGTGAGCATTCTCTGTTGGTTCCCTCTAGGCAGATGCCCTCATTGATTTACTTTGCAAACTTCATGGCTACACAAATGCTAATTCAAGCTTACTAATTACGACATTCACACTTTCTTAAAACAGACAAGGGTTCCAGTCAGACCACACCTGGAATACTGTGTCCAATTCTGGGCACCGCAATTGAAAGGACATGTTGACAAGCTAGAAAGTGTCCAGAGAAGGGCGACTAAAAGGATCAAGGGTCTGGAGAACAAGCCCTATGAGAAGCGGCTTAAAGAGCTGGGGATGTTTAACCAGCGGAAGAGAAGGCTGAGAGGTGGCATGGTGACGGTCGTGTATAAATATGTGAGGGAAAGTCATAGGGAGGAGGGAACAAGCTTGTTTTCTGCTTCCCTGGAAACTAGAATCGCTTTGAGTCCCCCCAAGGGTGAGAAAGGTGGTATATAAATACTGTAAGTAAATAAATAGGATGAGGAGCAATGCCTTCAAACTACAGGAAAGGAGATTCCACCTGAACATTAGGAAGAATTTTCTAGCTGTGAGAGGTGTTCAGTAGTGGAACTCTCTGCTCCAGAGTGTCCTAAACATTAGAAAGAATTCCCTGACGATAAGAGCTCTTCTACCCTAGAATACTCTACTGCCTGGGGAGTGTAGTGGAGTCTCCTACTCTGGAGGTTTTTAAGCAGAGGCTAGATAGCCATCTATCAGGAGTGCTTTGATTGTGTATTGGAGTTACTAGTTAAGACTAGTTGGCTCTTGGGGTCTGTTCTAATTCTAGGACTCTGTGATTCTGTGATAACCATGTGCATTTATGCCAGGATGTGCTTGTCACCTCTGAATAACATGATGGTAAGAGCTTCAAAAAAGAGGTTATAATAACAATAATCCCTGTTTGCAACCTTTTCATCTGATGAAATAGGCAAGCTTCCCCCTTGAACATTAGTAAGAACTTCCTGATTGTAAGAGCTGTTCAATAGTGGAACTCTCTGCCTTGGAGTGTGGAAGAAGCTCCTTCTTTGGAGGCTTTTAAACAGAGGCTGGATGGCCATCTGTCGGGCGTGCTTTGAATGCAATTTTCCTGTTTTTTGGCAGAAAGGGGTTGGACTGGATGGCCCATGAGTTCTCTTCCAACTCTATGATTCTATGGTTCTATTAGCCTTTCTCTCACAGGTATATAAACACTCTACTTACCTCACTGCCAACAGAACGTATGAATATGCCAACCACACATGCAGGCAAAACAATTGAAGAATACTAGAATATGACCACACAACCCAGAAAACAATTTTAATGTTTTTAATTTGCTTGCATTGTATTGTTATTGTCTGTTGTTGTTGTTTGAGGCCTTGGCCTTTGTAAGCCGCATCGAGTCCTTCGGGAGATGCTAGCGGGGTACAAATAAAGTTTAATAATAATAATAATAATAATAATAATAATAATAATAATAATAACTTCCAGCAATCCAATGGAAGCTAAAGTTGATGTCAAAAGGCATTCATTCCATAGTGGAGATGTATTATTAATATTATATTATTATTATATTACTAGCCATCCCCTGCCATGTATTGCTGTGGCCCAGTCTGTGTCTCTGTGTTTTGTGCATGCATTGAAATGTCTTTGTTAATTTTTGACTTTTTAAGTCTCTTCCGCTGTGTGTTTCAGTATTTTTATGAGTGATGGTCACTCATTGGCCTGATAGCTGTCCAAATTTGGTGTCAATTCGTCCTGTGGTTTTTGAATTATGTTAATCCCACAAACGAACATTATATTTTTATTTATATAGATTGCATTTATTTAGTCCACACTTTATCTCCCCAAGGGGCTCAAATACTGTACCCTACATT